ATGATGAGGGAGCATGGAGCCGGCTTCCCCGCCAATCAGGAAGTCGGGCGCCGCGTCATTACACAGCACCCGGCTTCCTGATCGGCCAGAAAGCTGGCTCCATGCCTTCTCGGCAACTAGTGACGAGAAGCACGGGGACTGCTTCCCTGCTAATCGGGAAGCCAGGTGGCAAGTCATTACACGCCACATGGCTTCCCGAATGGGACTTCCGGTACTCTAACGGCGAGAACCAAAAAAAAAATATATATATTAGATACCGAAATACCAGTGCATCGCTAGTCAAGGATACGCCGCTGTAAATGGGGACCCTCGTATGTGTAAAAACGTAATCCCCGTTCACACCTAAGCATTCCATGAAGGAGCGGCAAACACGCGTCATGTGCGCACTGATGCACATTCACAGAATGCATCAAAACTCACAGCACACTTGCAGCGCCATTACTACATCACCCCCAAATGTAGTCAGGAAAATGCTTGTTTCTTCCATGCATTAAAATGTGTGGGAAAAGACAGGACAAGTGTAGCAGAATCTGCTACAAGAGCTACTTTCCCAGGTTTGTCACACATGCGGCATCCATTGAAATCAATGGGTGACGTGCAACAAACGCAGGAAGCGACACATTCCCACTAAACTTCGGTGTGAGCGGGGACTTGGGTAGAAACCACTTTTTGCTTCGACTGCAACCAAGACAAACATAAGTAATGAGTAAACCATCAACGTTTTAATTTTTATTTGATAAGATTGGATGTATAAAACTATAAAAACACTCCATCAGATCAAATGTTTAGACAATAAAACATACATAGCATGAATTAACTACAATGAAAGGCACACGGAAGCCAATTTCATTAAACATTTGGTAAAATCACTATTACATATATGCTAAGAAAAGACAACACAGAATCTTCAAGGATGAGTGTCCTTTAAAAACAAACCGCACTTATGCTTTCTGCTGCCTTCACCTGACCTAACCCAGCCCAGCCTCCTTTAAATTTGCACACTTCCCTCGATTTGATGGCCGCAGTTTTACTGTTTACATTCAGTGGTACAATTCTTTATCGTCTGGGCCTCGCCTGCACAACATTACATCCCTCGAGGACTACTATCTGACCGTTACTGACCTCGGGACACAGCCCAGAAGGTCTGTGGGGCAGTAATGTGCAGGCAAGGCCGGGACAGCATTGCTGGATGTAAACAAACAGCGGAACTGCAGCCTTCAGATCAAGACAAATATCTGTTGGGGCAAAGTGAGGGACGGAAGGAGGGGGGCAAAGTGAGGGACGGAAGGAGGGGGAAGAGGGCGATGGGTCAGATCACAGGAAGCTGGGAAAAAAAAAAAAGGATGAATGCACGTTTTTTTAAATTGCACTTTACCTTAAGAAAACCCCATATTTAAGAACAATTACTGTGAGGGGAAATAAAAACTTTACAGCCATTTCAATGATACTTGACGAGTTCAGAATACGGAGCCGGAACGTCCATAAACATGCCAACTATGTTCACAAAATGAGCTAGGAACTTTGTATGAACAGTCATAAGTACACAGTCATTTCACTAGGATAAGATCACACAGACCACATTCCCATCAGACGTAAGTCACATGACCAAAAGAGCTTTGAAAACAGAACAGCACCCGGTGTGCATAAAGAGCTTATGAATGGAAATGTTACTTGTCCACCTAGGGCAAAGTGACAGGTCCTCTTGAACACCAGCCTGAATGAGACCCATGACCTGAATGGAGGAAAAACTATAAAGGATCACATGTATACAAAAATATATTTCTGCAGCAACAAGATTAGTATGTCACCTTAATGGCTTTGATTAGCTACTTGAGGAAAATGATTCTCAAGTCTGTCAAATACCCTCCAACCCGCAAAGATTCTATTCACCTAAATATCACCATGCAGGGTTCTTGAACATGGACAATTGTGTAATGATGCATTCAGAGAATCATGTAATGTGCATATGACACGGCTCTGTGAAGATCAGACAAGCATACATGTTCATATAAAAACGGAAAACCTATCATTCATCGATAACAGATGTCACCGGTCAAAACTGCAAGATTAACCAAAAACCATTCTGTTTTTGGCTAGAGTGGGAAAGATTAGAACCCCGCTGGGTTTTTACTGCTAGCTGGAGCCCGAGTAGCGACTTGCCCTCCCTTTCTGCCCTAAGGACAATGGTTCTCCCAGACAGGAAGTGAGGGAAAATCTGCAACAGGGTGACAGATAATACTTGACAGGGGTCCCAGTGTCTCCCCATTCTACTACAGAAAAGAATCTTCATTTCTGTATGTCACTGTTGGAGAGTTACCCTGACTTCCTGTCTTGTAATAAGTTGTCAGCAGGACAGGAAGTGAGGGTAAATCATTCTAAAGCTGGCCATACACCTTACAATTTATCTGCAGATTTTCTGTGGTCAGATGGAAAAGGTGCAACAGATTCCTCCATCTGCACTTAACTGTGTGGATGGAGTAATGTCCACCTGGGCCAATCTGCTGCACTTTCTCCATCTGACCACAGAAAATCTGCAGATAATTGTAAGGTGTATGGGCACCTTAACAGAGCACCGTGTGGCAGTGAAAACCTGACAGGGGTTCCTACCTTTCACCACTCCATCCAAAACTAAGAAACCCTTTGGCTAGACATGCATTTTCATTTACTCATACCTTACCGATTGAGGGCCCATTCACACCAGTGCGATGCATTAATCACATGCTTCTGTGCGATTAATGCACCGTACTGCACAATACGCCTACCATGTGTAACATTGATCTGAATGGCACAGCAAACACCTCCCACCCACAATGCAATTGCTCACATCACAAGGTACTGCAAGACTGTGATTTGTGATTAAATAGGTGCATGCACTACTTTTGTAATCACACTGTGTTGAGATTGATCACATTGCGGTCGAGAGGTGCGTTTAGGGTTCCATTTATATGAATGCCAGCACCTTGCACTGCATGTGCTGTCATCGCATGGCAGGTACATTGTGCAGAACGGTGCATGAATCGCAGTCTGAATGAGCCCGACTAACCCCTTCAGCAGTCTCCAGACCAGAAATCTCCGACAGCGTGCACACAAAATACACCAATTATACATTCACAATGATAAAGTCCAATCTTGTGAAAACTAAAAATCAGAAAAAAATAAAAAATTACATTTTATAAAGATGGTCCTGTCTGAGGTAGAACATTACATCCCTGCTTGCATAAAACGAGCACAGCCTTACCCACTTACTGGTTGCAAAATGCCAAATAAGCAAACCCCAACCGTTAAGCGACAAGATCAGTGCAATTCAGGGTAAAATAGAACACGGCTTTCCCAGCAATGACAAGCAAGCAGTGGCACTATAAGCAAACCCCAACCGTTAAGCGACAAGATCATCAGTGCAATTCAGGGTAAAATAGAACACGGCTTTCCCAGCAATGACAAGCAAGCAGTGGCACTTCAGCAGCGGTGGGACTACTCGTCCCAGCCAAAAACATGTGTAACTAGGATGACGACTCTGCGTGCTGGGACTTGTAGTTCCAATAAAGCTGGAAAACGACAGGTTGTCTATCAACACATAACAGTCACCAAAAAGCAATCATACAATTCAATGGCAACACTAATCAAAAATACTACAAAAATAAATGTTTCCTGCTTTATACTACTAGCGAAGTACTGGAGTCACTGGATCTGCAGAGGTAGAGAAGACTGCTGCGGAGAGAGCTGCGGAGATCTGCAAAGTGGTGACAAAATGAACTGGAGGTCTAGTAAAGCAAAATGGGAAAAAAAAATACGCGAAATACTAAAATAGTTGCAATGCATGAGAAATACAGAGATATGATTGCCGAGTTCCTGCTGCTTGTCCTCATGCCGTCCCTCAGTACTTGGAATCACTGGCACAGAACAATTACTTGACTTGTTCCAACTCAGTGACCATACACTGAAGCCATAATCAACCAGCATTTACCAGCAGGGTTCAAGTGACACTAAACTCAGGGGTTAAATCTTAATACATTCAAGTATCTCAACTATTCACAAAAATGTATCTTATTTGTGTATCACTGGGCTGTAGATCCTCAAATCATCTCTGAATTGGTGCCGACGCTGTCCTTCCTTCTGGAGGGGGGATACTTTTGTTCCCCATGTGTTGTAATGTAGTCACCGCTCCAAGCTCGCTCCCGTGATGGACTACAATCTCAATACAAATGAGTAAACTAAACATGAGATTGTAGTCCATCCCTGGAGTGATCTTGGAGCGGTGACTACAACACACCCCAGGGACCATGGGGAACAAGAGTAGCCACCCTCCAGAAGGGAGGACAGTGTCAGCACCAATTCAGAGTTTAGTGTCACTTTAAGCAACAGCTTTAGGGCTTGTTCACGCCATGTCTGTTGAGCTGCGTTTTTCTGCACATGTATGGTGTGAACAGGGCACATAGAAAGCAATTGGATTCCTTGTGCCCTAGTCACCCCATACATGTGCAGAAAAACGCAGCTCAAACATGATAAACAAGTCTTAAATATTTTCTCAGTACAGCTCTGCTTTATGGACAGAGCAAAGAGGATACAACCACTGTCACGTTTTTCCCATCTCTGCTGAACGGGGAGATTTACTCTTATTTTCAGACCCGATGACCACTAAACAAAAACACAAAGTGACATAAGAAGCTGGGATAAAGACCTGACACATTGCAACCCAGGGAGAGGCAACCTTAGGACTGCAGCTGTTGCACAACTACAAGTCCCATGATGCATTGCAAGACCGACAGTCACAGACATGACCACTAGAGGCATGACAGGATTTGTAGTTTTAGCACAGCTGGAGTGCTGATGTCGCCAGCCTGGTGTAACCCATTACTCTAAAATTTGGGCTAGAGTTCCACTTTGATAATAGCACTGTGTATATAGAAAAGAGTTTGAAGACAACAAAATATAGTACAGCATGAACTGAAGGCAAAACATCCAGATGCACAGTACACTGTCCCAAACTAAAAGGTGGGATCTTATCTGCCACTCTCATAGCCAGGGAAGAGCTGGCTGAGAACAGCTTGCAGTGCCTTGTTCACAGACATGTTGTAGTTCTTGCCCAGGTCGTGTCTGCACGCGGGACAAGTATGCACGGAGGCTTTAAAGGAACGATCCAGGCAGGTCTTGCAGATGTTGTGCAGGCACTCGGTGGTGACCGGCTCGTACACCACTTCTTGGCAGCAGATGCACAGGAAGGTCTCTTCCACCTTGTTGATGAACTTCGGTCCTTCCTTCAGGAAGCTCAGCGCGTCATTCCATAACTTGCCATTGATTTCATCTTTGTGAATCAGAGCTTTCTGCTCGGCGCTCAGTTTGTACACTTCCACTTTGGTTTTCTTGGGAGTGCCAGCAGATGGCACCAGAGCTTTAGCATTCTCAGACTTCCTTTTCCTCTTGCCTTTGCTGGGAGTTTCGAGCGCGCTAGCACTGGCGTCATTCTCTTTTTCCCTCTCTTTATTAGCAACGGATTCTAGGTAGCCCGCGGGGTACAGCATGGCAATGCCCAGTTTTTTTATTCGCTCTTTACCCTCCTTGGTCCACGGAGCAGGTTCCTCATCGTCTCTCTTGAGCAGGTAACGCCACACGAGGAAGCCAGACTTTCCCTTCTGAGGCCAGTACTTGACCACTTTGTAAATTCCATCGTATCGGTTGCCGTCCTCGGGGGCATATTTGCTGTGTTTCCTCCCCTTGGAGCTGCGCACGACGCGGACGGGCTTTCCGGCTCGCCAGTCCTTAGCCACGGAGCCCTGTTTGTCATTGATGGGTGCGTTGCAGTTCAAGGCTAGAGCTCGGTTCATGTTTGTGAGTTTCTGGTCACATGACTGCTCAGCAGTGCGTTTGTTACCGGAGAGGTCACGGCCTCCGCTGCCGGTGTAAGTGAACTCAGTCCCGCGGTCTACATCATCCTCGTAACCTCCGGCTAGCACAAGAGAATAGGAGCCATCGTTGCTTCTCCCGTGGATGCCAGCTACATGCGGCCTGTGCACCCCGGCTTCACTGACCTGCACTCTGAACTTCCACTGCATGCCAACCGGCACCCCAGGTATCGGCCCGTAGTGATTGGATGGGACAATGGTACATTCTCTAGAGCGCCCAACACACGCCATGCCTTTGCCCCAGTCCCGCTGGCAGGAAGAAGAGGCCGACGGCATCTTGGATTTCCTTTTGCTCTCCTTGAGCTTCTCGCCAGCCAGCACCACTTCGCTGGTATCGACTCTGCATTCGGGGCAGTACCAGTCCTCATCGGGCAGGGCAGAAAGAGGCGGGTCCAGGCAGTACATGTGGAACGCCACGTCGCATTCGTCACACAGCAGCTGTTTATCAGGGTCTTGCTTGCCCCCGCAGATGTGACAGGCGCACATGTGGCACTTCACCCTGGGGTTATCCCGGCAGTGCTTGCACTCGGGCCCGTTCTGACGCTTCGGAGGGCTCTCCGGGGACAGGTCCTCGCCGCCCGGCTCCTCAATTTTAAAAATCTCATCCACAAAGCGGATCCTGCAGTCATCCAGGGAGTCGCCGGCGTCACCGAGCATGACTTTGGCGTATACCTCCTTGATGGTACGGGTCTCCCTCTTTCGTAGGATCTCAGCATCGTACCAGTAGCCCTTCTCCTTCGGGTCATCGGGGTTGTAGTTGACCATGACCACTTGTCCCGCCATAAGATCATCCCATGGCAGCTTGGTCCTGGCCCGGGGTCTCACATCCTTCTCGGTCAGCTGCACCTCCCCATTCTCAGGGTAGTCCTCATACCGGATGTGGTAGAGGAAGTCCTCAGAAGAGGGGTGTGGGGTCACCTTCACCACCTGGGCCTCGAACCAGGCTCCCATGTTCAGGTCCCGGGCGTCCACCAGCTGGTCGGCCTTGTACAGGGCGAGCTCGGTGGAGGGGAGCTCTTTCTCTTCCTCCGGCTCTATGTCGGGCATCTTGGCCTCTTCTTCCTCCTCCGGTACTTCGTCCTTCTCCTCGGTGACCGGGGACACACACACCGGGACCTGCCGCACCATCAGCTGCACGATGTCATTCAGGTTGACACTGTAGTCGAACAGCGTGTGGCCGTCCTCCATCTGCTTACCCCGGTAGAAGAGCCGCTGCCGCTCCAGCTCCACCCCGAACACCTCCTGGATCCGCTGCCGCAGCTCCTCAACCTTGGTCAGCTTGGAAAGGTTGTCGAGCCGCTCGGTCTGCCGGCCGTCCATGGTGCGCACCTGGATCCACATGATGGCTGAAGGGAGGCGAGCTCTCGCCGGACTGAAGCAATAGGTGAAGGAAGTGCTCGTTTGCTGTGGCTTCAGCGTCCCCCGGCTGCTCGGTACCGGCGGGGAGTGTTAGTCTTTCAGCGCTGACTGAAGTGAATGAGAATCTCCCGCGCTGCACGGAGCGCGCGGTTTTGTAGTTTGGCGGGAAATTCCTCAGTGCCAAGCGGATTGGAGGAAACTGGAGCTCGGGAGGGAGAAAGGAGGCGGGGCGGGCTCCGGATAGGAAGCTGAGGCTCATGAGGGGAAAGGGGCGGATCCAGATGGTAGGCTGTGTGTGGTGGGAGTGGGTGGAGTCGGGTCCCTGGATTGCGAGCTAGTGGGCGGAGTCGGGCCGCTTCTGTGCTTACAAACATCTGTCGTTGTATTTCCATAGTGAGTACAAATATAATAAACAAAAATCTTCATATATGACATATTCCTATAATAAATAACACCCCGGATATCGTACATCAGTATTACACAGCAATATATCGCTCCAGTCACCGCCGTTTTGAATCCATCGCACCCTCTGGAATTTGCACAGCCATGCGATATATAAACTATATTTTTACATATCTCGAACACAACTTGTCATTCGTTTCTGAATGAAAAATATTCTATTGTTATCTTTTCGTGTTATATCACGTGAGGTTCTGTTCTGTGTCAATCAGTTCTGAACTTCCCGGGGTGAGCACCATCGGTGTGACGTCACGGTGTGCAGCAATCTCCCGCCAAATGTTCCCTCACAAGAAGATGAGAGCTGCTGAAGGAGGCAGAAATGTCAATGTGGGGCTGGGCTGCTGTCCTAGCCAAGCAGATGTGTAAATGCCAATTATTTGGTGTCATGTGGCAGAAATGAGCAAATAAAGTTATTCACCAACTCTTAACAACAAAAATAATTTGTTCATAAAGATGTATAATTTACCCAGATGGGAAACATTCAAGTTTTTGCACTTTGCATGTTTATAAGTCTACGTCCAGTGAATATTCTTACCTTTTCTTAAACAAAAAGCAATATTCTTTAAGGGAATCTGTCTGTGGCTTTATTCAGTCACATAGTGCAGCTCCCTCTGGCCCCTAAGACCCCATTCACCCTGAGCGATTTGTCGCACGATTTCAGCAAAAAAATCGCTCAAACATCAGCTCAATGTACCTCAGTGTAGCTCGTCCAATGCATTTCAATAGAGCTGTTCACATCTCACAGCTCAATGTAGCTTGTCGCTTGAACATGACCTATTTTTCGGCAGATTTCATGCAATTTGGCCCAATAGACTTCAATGGTGTAGCTCAATGTCGCACGAATTTGTGTGACATTGTCGCGCTACAGAAATGTCACTTTTGCACAGAAATATAAGCAGAAACATAAGCAGGAAACAGGAAGAGGAATTATGTCATATCAAGACTTCTTTTGATTGGATACAGCCCAATGTAGCAGCTAAGAAGTCCATGCCATAAGTAGCGCTACAATATGAGCACTGTAACTCAATGTCTCTCAAAGTCGCTCAGCTCAAATCAGTGCTGAGGTAGCTCAGTGTGAATGGGGTCTAATGGTGCTAGGGATATAATTATTAAAGTGGCATATATTTTTTTTTAAGGCTGCTGTGCATGCATCAAAAATGAACCCCTGTAAGAAAAAAAGAATGATGCATGAAATCACACCACACAAGGGATCCTGTGGCTCTCCTTCACAGAGGAAAGGGCCTTCAATTATCGAAGACCCCGGGGCGCAAGGCTTCTGACGGGCAAGGCCGAAACCAGGTGGACCAGCCAAAGACGGTCCACCAAGTACTTCTCCAGAAAAGAGACCCACGGTGGGAAAAGGTGAAAGAGCCAAAGGCCACAAAGCCTCTCCTCAGACATCAGGACGGGCTCTGAAGGCACCCACACCCTCCATCATCTGTGGGGCGAGTGTGTACCCATGCAATGGGTGCTCTAAATAGATAAATAAATGCCTTTGCTAGACGTGGAAGGCCAAAAAAATAAATAACAATAGCACCACTCCCCCCACATACTGAGTATAACACTGGTTTAGCCCTGGCCTTCAACCTGCAGCTCTCTGACACCATTCAGACAATAGTCTGTTTTGCTTCTTACTCAGCTCTTTGAAAGATTGGAGTCTAGTAGTTAATGTTTTGGCTTTTTTTTATTTACACCATTCAAAAGCTGGCCATACACTCATTAATTTCTTTTGTTCCGCCCATGGTTCCTCCATCCATCCTAAACAGCCTGGCTGGACAAATCTTCCCTGCCGGGCTATTGTATTACGACAGTCGGTGCCCGTGGCTGTCTGAATACCCAAACAGCGACTGTAGCTGACAATTTTCTACCTGGCTCAAATTGAACATCACAGCTCGCATTTCATTCAAGTGAGCAGGGCTCGGACAAAATTTGAGCAGTGTATGGCCAGCTTTACCTTTTTTGGCCCTTTTGATGTCATGGGCCACACTTGAGACCCCCTTTATCAAGTAAGATGACTGCCACTGGTCTAGGCGGTTTCTAACGCTCTATTAGAGGTCATTACTTACCTGATTCAACAGACCTCAGACTACAAAGGTCCACCAAAGCCGCTGCTGTTTGCTGGTCGTGTAGCCTCCCTCTTGCTGACATCATCATGTGCAATGCAGTACATGATGACATCGAGGACCGGTTCACCAAGGGAGGACTGGGTCAGTACTAATAAGGGCCTTTGCACAGGTGTCAGAACCTTCATTCAGAATCCATTGGCAGGTGCATTTGTGCGAGTCTACATAATGTATAAATGGCGGGCACGGGTGCCATCATTTTATTTTACTGTGGTAATGCATATTACTGTCAGGCATTTATGTGAATCCGCTCTTAAAAGCTGAGAGACAGAGAAAGTGAGACGGAAACCTCTATTATTTATCCTTGAAATGCGTTCTGACCTGCTGATGTCCACTGGTTGAGCAGAGCTCAGCGACTTGCCTGCAGACTTACTCCAGATGCCTCACAGCTTCAGCTTCCTTTCTCTCTGGCGGTTGTCTCTCTCCTCTACCCGTGGCCAGGGTATGAGGTAGAAGCTGGTAGGTCTTTTGCGCGGTCTCATGTTGTTTTTCTTTGTTTTACCCCGGAGTTTGCACTCCTCATTTGATTCAACAGGCTGCATGGTCTCCACTTTAGTTGTAGTTGATTTTTTGTTTATACACATAGGACTACATCTGCCTTTATGTGTACAGTAATACCTTGGTTTACAAGTAACTTGATTTGAGAGCGTTTTGCAAGATAAGCAAACATTTCTGAAAAATGTTGCCTTGATATACAAGCAATGTCTTGCAATAAGAGCAAAATTTTGTAGAAAAGGCTTGTAGCAGTGCGAGCGATTAATCTGTTTAACGACAATGCAATGTCACATTGGATAGATTCCTTGTTAAGGTTTCACGTAATGAAAAAGATTCCATTGAGTCAAGAGATAGCAGTGATTCCGTTAGTGATAGTGAAAGTCATCCTACACAATAATCCTCCTCTCTCTTGTCCCCCTCACACCGGCCACAAAGGTACCTGTAATTGGTTTATTTTTCTTTATATTTTGTACAGTATTATATTACAGTACAGTATTGTAATCATTGTTATATGAATATTTTTGGGTTGTGGAACGAATCATCTGAATTTCCATTATTTCCTATGGGGAAATTCGCTTTGATATACAAGCACTTTGGATTACAAGCATGCTTCCGGAACAAATTATGCTCCTAAACCAAGGTATTACTGTACAGTGTATCAAAAGTTCAGTAGGCACTCAGAGGCCTTCAAACAGGAGTAAACGCCTTGAGCAAGGCTGGCTGTGACACTCTGAAATGTTGGTAAGATAAAACCTACACTTTAGGCGTTTACTCCTGTTTGAAGATCTCTCAGTGCCTACAGAACTTTTGCTATACTGCTGCTACTGTGTGGCGCACAGAGGCATGTTTTTCTGGATTGTGTGCCGGTACTAGACATGTGCATTCGGATTCGGACGAACCTGCAAATCAACGAAAATCAGTTGATTCAGCAGTTTCGTCCGAATCCAAAATAACAAATGTAATATATGCCCGAATATACTAAAACGATATTCGGGGATACATAAATTTCTTTTCAGAGCACACCGGCGGCCATATTAACCACCAGCACGTTCTGCGCATGCCCGACGCCATCTTGGAGGCGGAGAGTATGTCACATGTTAAACGAGCGGTGGCCAGATTTGGCCACCGGGGCGTTCTGTGCATGCACGTCACCATTTTGGAGAAGATCTTGGTATACACCAAGATGGCGGCGCTCGAATATGTGGGCTCCGCCATCTTGGTGTATACCAAGATCTACTCCAAAATACTGCGGTTTCAGTGTGCGGTTTTGGATTCGGAGGCTCCTTGCCTCCGAATCAACATAAAGATTTGTTTCCTTTGACGAAACGAATGAAAACGTTTTTTGTTTTAATTTGTTTCGTCTTTTTTGTTGTGCACATGTCTAGCCGGTACCAATTTTCTATTGATGTACACTGCTTTTCCAAAAAAATAAGTCACTATTAAGCTAAGTAGGTAGTTTAGAGCCTTCCATTGGATAATAGGTCTAGGTTCAGCAAAGTTATATGCCCAAAAAATGAGGTCAGCTGTCTACCTGAATATATCGAATGATCAAGTTTTTCCATCAATGGGTTTTTTCTTCCCTTGTGGCACATTGGGCATAATTCCAAGATGACAATCCCGGGATTCAGCGGGCTCAGATTGTGAAAGAGTGATTCAGGGAGCATGAGACATCATTGTCACACATGGATTGGCCACCAGAGTCCAGACCTTAACCCCATTGAGAATCTTTGGAATGTGCTGGAGAAGACTTTACGCAGTGCTCCGACTCTCCTACATCAGTACAGGATCTTGGTGACAAATTATTACAACTCTGGATGGAAATAAATGTTCTGACATTGCATAATCTTATCGAAATGATGCCACGAAGAATCAAAGCTAAAGGTGGTCCAGCGAAATATTGTGTGACTTTATGTTCTAATGTTGTTATGTGATAGACTCATCTCTGTAAATAAGTAAGAGCAATAAAGAAAAGGTGAAAAATAAACGTATTTATTCATTCTGAGTTATTCACACAACTCAGTTTATTTTACATTACTTTTACGGTAGATTCTTAACATTAATGGTATTAGGCTAAAGTTACTTTCTTGCTACCGCTGGAGAGTTGTCCAGCTGATTTCTTAGGATTTTGAAAGTTTTCATAGCTGTATATGAAAAAAAAAAATCAATATATTAATATACAATATGATATGAAGCATACCTCATCTCATCACCTGTATTTTAGTCTCCTGGTATTTACTAGGGGACAAACCCAGGGGCCACAATGATTCCTGCAGATAAAGTTTAGGTAACGATCAGACACACACACTCCGATCTCTGGGACTATTTGAGTTAGCTGGTGACCCTAAACTGTAACAGTCTTACTTTTCCAGCCTTGTTTGATTTAAATGATGAAGAATTGGTTAGGAAGGCTTAGAACTTTTAAAAGAACCAGATTTCCATTGAATCCTTATAAAATATAGGAAACCACCATGTGATGCAACTTATTAGCAATCACACAGAAAAAATAAGTCTGAGATTAGGGTGGCGATATTACCAGACAATGAGAAACATACACATGCTCTGAGAACAACTAGGGACCAGAAGGTTTTTAGCCCCTTTGACAAAACATTCCCCAGTAGAGGGTACTAGTTGCGCTCCAGTCATTACAGGAGACAGTGACGATGTGGAGGTCAGCAGGTGGAACCAGTGAGAGTTGTAGGAGCCCAGAACGGGACAACTAGGGACTGGGTGATTTTTAACCATTTTGTCCCTTTTGCCAAAACATTCCCCGTACAGGTCACTAGTTGACCTCCAGTCATCACAGGAGACATTGACGATGTGGAGGTCAACAGGAGGAACCAGTGAGAGCTGTTGGGGCCTAGAAGGGGACAACCAGGGACTGAAAGATTTGTAGCCTTTTTGCCAAGACATTCCCCCGTACAGGGCACCAGGTGACCCCCATTCATTACAGGACACAGTGGCGATGTGGAGGTCAGCAGGTAGAACCAGTGAGAGCTGTAGGGGCCAGAAAGGGACAACTAGGGACTGGATGATTTTTTATCCCTCAAAACATTCAGGGTAGGGTGAACTGTGACCCCTTTGTGACCATGACCACCCTTTGACCCATCCTTCCCCCCATTACCAAAGTTTTGTCCACTTAAAATGACCCTATCACTAAGTACATGCTCATCTACTGTATCTTATCACCCAAGCAGCTGAACAACTACATTGCTGAGAAATGGTCCCCTAAATTTCACTGGGAAACCAAAACTTCTGGGAGTAACAATCTCCCAAGTCCCCCATAGAGGTCACTAGTTGACCTCAGTCATTACAGGAGACAGTGGAGATGTGAAGGTCAACAAGAGGAACCAGTGAGAGCTGTAGGGAACCCAGAAGACCATCACTGCTGGAAGTGCTGTTTTCACAGCAGATTTCGGGGGACCATTTCTCAGCGATAGTGTGGCTTTCTGCAGTGTGGCCAGCAGGAAAAGCGAACTTGTACATCCTTCTTTTTACAGGTTCTCTTCAAAAAAAGGTATTATAGTGGCAGGGTCACTTTATGGGACCTCAATTATTTAATAGGGCAGACATGTATCTCTTAAGAGATTTTCGGCGGAAACCTTGGAAATATCAACCCCATCTATTTGCTACATAGTTTATGGAGCAGATTACTGGATAGTCTTCAATTCTACCCAACCATATCTAACGCAGCCTAATAGAAACTAGACATGTGCACTGCCAAAAAATTTGTTTAGTTTTGTTTCGTTTTAAATTCGGATTTGTGTTATTTCGTTTTTCGGGTGGGAAAGTCAATTCGGATTAGGACGAAATTCGGTAGCGGTATTTTGAATGTTCGTTTCGTTTTCTGTTCTTATTTGTTTCGTTCGAAATATTTTTCTCCTTCTCTAATGTCACTTTGCTCCAACGAACGAAACGAATAAGAAACGAATAAGAAACGAAAACGAAACGAACATTCAAACTACCGCTACCGAATTTCGGAAATGGAAATTCGGATTCGTTATGTCTGTAATTCGGAATTCGGATACATCCGAATGTCCGAATTTCCGAAAATTCGTCCGAATTTCGATTCGGAACGAAACGAATCGCACATGTCTAATAGAAACCACCAATCAAAGGGGTTCCAGTTCACCCTACCTTGAATGGTCTGCCAAGTGGAATGCAATGAATTGTTTAGCTACAGTATATCACCATTTGGGGTTTTTTTCCCTTCATTGCTTACATGTGATTGAAAAACATCCTGTCTTCTATGCTTATAGAAGGTCTTGTGCTGGCGAGCGATGTCATAAGGTGCTGTTGGTTGATGCATAGTCTCTTCTTAGATTCCACGTGGCGGTGAGATGTTTCCTGCTGAATGATAAATTATATGGATTTACTATGAAAATATATTCTCAGTATGTCCTTCCCGACCATGGGAAGAAACAGATGAACTATTTTTGCAATGGTCTACCATTAAAATACATGACATGATCAGAATATCAGGGTGGTGTTTTATAGTACTAGATGACTTTTGTACTCTATAAACCCTAATACTGTTTAATAAATGTTTCTGCTTTTAACCTAAGTCTGGTGTCTGTGTGTCTATAGAATTTCCCCTTTTGCTACTCTTCTCATTAGCAGTTCTGGGCCTACAAAGTGTCAGGTCCTCTTTAAAAAGAGTTTTCTCTTTCAGTGAAGAAACAAGAAAACCCTTCAGTGCCTAAGCAATGGCCAGTGGTGGAATTCTTCCTGTTGGATTGTATCCATTCTGACCATCTATATCCTTAAAAGGAGAACTATGGGGTCAGTGCTTTTTCCCCATAGTTCTCCTAAGGGTCACGGGAGGACACAAACTAGCGTCCTCCCGTGACCCAAAGCTCAGTATACCGCAAGCTTGAGCTTGCGGTATACTGAGGCCGCCGCAGCCAAGACGGATACCAACATTACTGTCGAGATGCACCCAGCTGCGTGATTGACAGCTGGCTCTGCCTATCTAGAGGCAGAGCCAGCTGTACCCGCCCCCTCTACCATCCGTTCCGCCAGTCAGCGCTGGAGGATCGGACAGGAGAGGGGGGGGAATCCCTGCAGGGAGCCGTGAGTGAATCACGGCTCTGCAGGGACAGGATCGAGAAGTGAGCGAGCGACGGTATGTGTTCGCTCACTTCCCAATCTATTGAGCCGACGTGTGACAGTTTCATTGTCACGTCGGCTCGAACTATGAGGATGAGTGATTTTCACTCACCTCATAGTCCTGCTTTAAATTGCTAGTTATATATGTAATGTTTCTTTGAGAACAAAGCTGACAAGGGTGCTATTCATAAAAGTAGAGAGGGGGAGAGATCGCCCACAATGACCAATAAGATTCTTTGTTGCATTTAGAGAATTAAAGATGAAATAAGATTGGTCACCATGGACAACTTATCACATTCTCACACTTCTTATATAAATAGCCCTCAAAGTGTTGCTAGTATATACCCTTGGAGCAATGTTGAATGACCAGCACGACTGGTGCCTGCAAATGGGTATCGGTGAACTGATTCCTCATAGCCAGAGAGGCAGAAAGATACTATGGGCACACTGATTTTTGCTTGTTCCTATTTACTTTTTTCTTAATAAAATATTTTTAACTAGCACCTCATGCTTGTCTGGTTTTCAATGTGCTCTGACAACCTTATTGCCAACAAAACATATCAAGGCTACTAGGGACCTCTTCCTGAGGCAGTAGTAACTGTCACTGCTACTTAAAGGAGAACTATGAGGTGAGTGCTTTTCACTCACCTCATAGTTTTAGCCGACCTGTGACAATGAGACTGTCACAGGTCGGCTCAGGAGATCGGAAGTGAGCGAACACATACCGGCGTTCACTCACTTCTCGCAGAGAGCCGTGACAGGGGAGGGGCTGGATTCCCCCCTCCCCGCTCCGATCCTCCAGCGCTGACTGGCTTAACGGACGGGGGCGGGTACAGCTGGCTCTGCCTCTGGATAGGCAGAGCCAGCTGTCACTCACGCAGCTGGGCGGATCCAGACATAATTATCGGGATCCGCTTCAGCTGCAGCGTCTCAGTATACCGCGAGCTGTAGCTCGCAGTATACTGAGCTTAGGGTGTAGTTTGTGTCCTCCCGTTACCCTAAGGAGAACTATGGGGAAAAGTCCTAACCCCATTGTTCCCTTTTGTTTTCTATGTTCGTGGTGGAAGCCCCAGAGCCTTGGATGAGCAGCGCCTCAAGTTTGTGTGAAAAACTGTGATAAACTGTTGAAAACTTTAGAGTATGCAACAGCAAGTGGATCGTTCAGCTGGCAGCCATTAGCGCCAAGAGTTAAAGAAAACTTTTTGTCAATGGCTACCGATTGATCTCAAACTGATATCAAAAGCAAGCTGCATTTGCAAATCAACACAAACCCAAAGTCGTAGTCATGGTCCCTTATGCTAGCCATACACCATATGAAAGACATCGCTTGATTCCCACATTCAAGGTAAACAGCACGGATGACGGAATCTCCCCTGCTGGCAACTGCAGCCGTCTAAATACCCCAATAGTGAAGAGGATCCTAGTAGGCCTTGAAACGTCACTTCCTGATACAGTGTCCTGTCTTCTCATCTAAACATGCTGTGCTGGTGATATCATTGATTGATAAATGGAAGGTTCACTACTTATATACAGGTTTGTACTTCATTGCTCTTAGACTTGGTAGTCCGTGCCAAATAACAAAGCTGAGTTATTCAGGCTACAAAGGTCCGCACTCCGTGTGTTGCCTAGGACTGAAATAGTTTGCATTAATCATGTATAGCCAATATTTGTCTTTAGTTTTGGATAGAGTACAGTAGGATTAGATCCTCTGTCAGACTTTCATTGGTGTCTGAGTTCCTGCTATGGAGATTCACTCCCTCAAGCTTTCCTTGTTACCATTGTCGAACAGACAGAAAGTGACAAGACACCCAGACATTTCCAGTTGTCATCAGAACAAGAGGGGAGGGTAACTCTTCCAATGTTCTCACTTTGCAGAGATTTCTTCCCAGTACCTGTTGCATCACTGGGGCAAGAAGTGAAGTTTCCCCAACAGGATACAGACAGCAAAAAAAACATACCGGTACATGGTAACATCAGTTATAATATACTCATGCAATAATCCATAACTCTACATAAACTAACATGTCCACAAGAATTTACTGGGCTATATACCAGGTCCTCCACTCCGTTTACTAAAGGCCTTAAAGGGGAAGTACACTTTGAGAAGAACAAATGCCATCCCACCTCAATGCCCTAATCGCCACATTACTCCATATACGTATACTGTACACCTTCATCAGATTGAGAAGAACACAAGTTCCTCAGTTCTTGGCTGACTTGCAAACCCCCCACCCCCAACATGATGCATGCAACTTGGAAACCATTCTGCTCCTACACTAGAATTGACACATCCACACTCTCTCATAAGTCTGTGAATACATTCCAGCCATGGGCAGGCTTGGTACTGAAGAACGTGTATGTATCTGCAGCTGAGCAAGTTGTGTACTTGTCATAATTAATTTGATGACAAAGGAGAACTATGAGGTGAGTGCTTTTCACTCACCTCATAGTTTTAGCCGACCTGTGACAATGAGACTGTCACAGGTCGGCTCAGGAGATCGGAAGTGAGCGAACACATACCGGCGTTCACTCACTTCTCGCAGAGAGCCGTGACAGGGGAGGGGCTGGATTCCCCCCTCCCCGCTCCGATCCTCCAGCGCTGACTGGCTTAACGGACGGGGGCGGGTACAGCTGGCTCTGCCTCTGGATAGGCAGAGCCAGCTGTCACTCACGCAGCTGGGCGGATCCAGACATAATTATCGGGATCCGCTTCAGCTGCAGCGTCTCAGTATACCGCGAGCTGTAGCTCGCAGTATACTGAGCTTAGGGTGTAGTTTGTGTCCTCCCGTTACCCTAAGGAGAACTATGGGGAAAAGTCCTAACCCCATTGTTCCCTTTTGTTTTCTATGTTCGTGGTGGAAGCCCCAGAGCCTTGGATGAGCAGCGCCTCAAGTTTGTGTGAAAAACTGTGATAAACTGTTGAAAACTTTAGAGTATGCAACAGCAAGTGGATCGTTCAGCTGGCAGCCATTAGCGCCAAGAGTTAAAGAAAACTTTTTGTCAATGGCTACCGATTGATCTCAAACTGATATCAAAAGCAAGCTGCATTTGCAAATCAACACAAACCCAAAGTCGTAGTCATGGTCCCTTATGCTAGCCATACACCATATGAAAGACATCGCTTGATTCCCACATTCAAGGTAAACAGCACGGATGACGGAATCTCCCCTGCTGGCAACTGCAGCCGTCTAAATACCCCAATAGTGAAGAGGATCCTAGTAGGCCTTGAAACGTCACTTCCTGATACAGTGTCCTGTCTTCTCATCTAAACATGCTGTGCTGGTGATATCATTGATTGATAAATGGAAGGTTCACTACTTATATACAGGTTTGTACTTCATTGCTCTTAGACTTGGTAGTCCGTGCCAAATAACAAAGCTGAGTTATTCAGGCTACAAAGGTCCGCACTCCGTGTGTTGCCTAGGACTGAAATAGTTTGCATTAATCATGTATAGCCAATATTTGTCTTTAGTTTTGGATAGAGTACAGTAGGATTAGATCCTCTGTCAGACTTTCATTGGTGTCTGAGTTCCTGCTATGGAGATTCACTCCCTCAAGCTTTCCTTGTTACCATTGTCGAACAGACAGAAAGTGACAAGACACCCAGACATTTCCAGTTGTCATCAGAACAAGAGGGGAGGGTAACTCTTCCAATGTTCTCACTTTGCAGAGATTTCTTCCCAGTACCTGTTGCATCACTGGGGCAAGAAGTGAAGTTTCCCCAACAGGATACAGACAGCAAAAAAAACATACCGGTACATGGTAACATCAGTTATAATATACTCATGCAATAATCCATAACTCTACATAAACTAACATGTCCACAAGAATTTACTGGGCTATATACCAGGTCCTCCACTCCGTTTACTAAAGGCCTTAAAGGGGAAGTACACTTTGAGAAGAACAAATGCCATCCCACCTCAATGCCCTAATCGCCACATTACTCCATATACGTATACTGTACACCTTCATCAGATTGAGAAGAACACAAGTTCCTCAGTTCTTGGCTGACTTGCAAACCCCCCACCCCCAACATGATGCATGCAACTTGGAAACCATTCTGCTCCTACACTAGAATTGACACATCCACACTCTCTCATAAGTCTGTGAATACATTCCAGCCATGGGCAGGCTTGGTACTGAAGAACGTGTATGTATCTGCAGCTGAGCAAGTTGTGTACTTGTCATAATTAATTTGATGACGGTGATGAAGAAAGTTTTTATTCTTAAAGTGCACTTACCTTTTAAGTGAGCCAGTGAGCCACTAATCCTTCATTTGAAATCTGGGAGCCCTTAAATATATGAGCTACTGATCAGAAGAATCCTATAATAACCCAACACCATGGACTCAATAACTGGTCAATGCTGAGTGGTCAAAAGGTTTCATACTTTTTTTTTCAAGAGTGAAGGAGATCTCTAATATTAAAGCCAATATACAATATCAACAACATTCCCTTATTCCAAAAAATACCCCTCAAATTACCTCACAGTTACTGCGGTACACAGCCATATCTGTACAGCTTTCGTGGAAGAGTTACTTGATAATCACATTTTACTAAGTGCACATGTCCATTTTGCCTTCTCTGATCTAAACTAGCCCGGCATACTTGCATACTCGATTCAGTGTTAGTTTACATCCTGCTACAAAAGTCTTCTGTGCACTGTCCCCGGGCCCCAGGGGATGGCCCATAAAAGTCTATGGAAAGCTGCTGCCATGGTGTGGTCAGCCCACAGAAGACTTTCAGGAATCAGTACAGGATGTATACAAACAATAGGGGCCAAGGCTGCCAGATCAAGGCGAGTATGGATCTAGGAAGAGAGATGGTGGGCTAGTTTAGGTCAGGGAAGTGGGGTAAAAAAGCTAAATCCACTTACAGTATTATTTAAGATTAATTTAAAAAAAAACATCAGCAGCTTTTAAGTAGCAAATCCCCCCAAACATAAGACAATTAGTGCTTCTACCAAACAGGCAAGCAGCATGTTAATCTGTGCTTGTAAATTAGCAATCAGAAGCGTGGAAGCTGATGCATACCTAGAAATGTTAATGCACTAGCTGCAGTTTAGTAATGGTTAGTATAATCAGGACTCTAAAAACCTAGGGATGATAGGGATTTCAAGGCCATACATTATGACACTCTATAATAATAGTGACATTTCTTATCATTGCTGTGCTATTCACGGGCCTGGAAAGATTTCTGTAGACAGTTAGCCAATGTGTCTCCGAAAACAATAGGTAGAGACACCCATCTTTCCCATTCAGAGAAAAGAGACAGTGTCTGTGTTAGAGCTCATTTACACCAGGGCAGGCCACTGTAGTCTCATTAACACATGTGCATGAATGCATTATATGTGTTAACACGAATTAACACGTTGTGTCAAGGCAGCACATATATGTGCCATGCAACCCAGTGGAGCAGAAATTGGACGTGCAGCAAGTTTGGTCAGCATAGTGGACTACAACACGTTACCACTTGCTGTGGTGGTTTGTTGGAATGCCATTCACAATAAATGGGACCAAAGTGCAGCAATGCATGTAATTTTAATTTCCGCGACACGCTGGTGTGAATAGGCCATAATGCCCGCTCCCTGACCACTTTGGACTTACCTCTTCGGAACGCCCCTGCTCCTTCCTCCATCATAGCGGCTCCATTACTCCTGGTGCTGGCTGGTGTCAGGTCTCAGAGGGAGTGGTGACACAACCCCTTCTCGTACCCAGCAACTGGCCACTATGTTATATGCTCCCCCATACCTGGGAGCACTGGGTATTTTATAGTGGCTGTCAAGAAGAAGGAGCGGTGGGGAGTGCTTGAGAGGTTTTAAGCTGGTCGGAGGGTGAGCTTGAGACCCCGTTCACATTGAGCGATTTATCGCGCGGTAATTCCCGCGATATCGCGGCAATTTACTGCGCAATATCGCTCTCCAATGCTTCTCAATGGGGCAAAGGGTCCTGCTGTCGCGGGTCGTGTGTCGCTACAGCAGGACCCTTTTTGGAGCGGATTTAGCCGCGATTCAAGCTTGCTCAATGCAAGCATTTGCGCGATATCGCGCAACAAATTGCGCAAAATGCAAATCGCGTGACAAACGCGTGATTTGCGAATCGCGCAGTGTGAATGGGGCCCTACATAGACCTTGTCACTTTGCCCTGAGTGAAAAAAGGTGACATTGTCTCTTTGACTTTGCTCTAATTTTAATATTGTCAATAGAACAAAAAATTCCCTAACCCCTTACAACTAGCTATTTTAGCAAATTGTCCACTCCTAACATATGTATTTTTTTCCAGCAGTGTTAAATAAAATATACTGAGAGAAATTGCTGGGATGCCAGAGATGACCTCCCTCTCAAAATGATAGCTGCCAGACTGAATTAAATGGCTTTCAAAATAAAGCTTGGCATACAGCATACAGGTGGGCTAAACAAAATCACTCAATTCCTCCATCCACACTTTTTAGCCAACTACTGTATTCTGACAGCCGGCACCCGTGGCTGACTGCAACTGATTGGCTCCTTTGAAAAAAGTCAATTGAAAAGTCATCTTTTGCTGAGCTGGGTGGTGCCAGAAGGGCCACCCGTGGATCGAACTTCATCTGTTTCAGCAGGAAATGGCCAAAGTTTGTTGTTTGTATGGCCAGTCTAACTGATCCAGAAATAGCAATCATCATTAAACTAATATAGAAGACCAATATTGTGCCGAGCTAATAATCATACACATCTAATGGAGAAAGTACTGAAATTAGAGGATCAGCAAAAAGTTGGTACATAGAGCAAATTCTGGACTGTTGATTAATATAGAAGACCAATAATGTGCCGAGCTAATAATCATACACATCTAATGGATGTGTATGATTACTAGCTCGGCACATTATTGTTTTTCACATTCTTTAGATATTCATTTATACCCTTATATATATCCTTTATATCCGGTGAAGCAGAAAGTACTGAAATTAGAGGATCAGCAAAAAGTTGGTACATAGAGCAAATTCTGGACTGTTGTTGATGAACTGGCTGAAATTCACTTTGTGATTGGCCCTGTCAGCAGCCTCCTGCCTGCAATCCTGCCCTTCAATCTGAAAATCAAAGGAGCCAGACGGAGATTTATCAGTCCAACAGTAACTTCAGCCAATCAGCTAGAGTCACTCTTCACGTATTCTGACATGGGGGGTGCCCGCTGTCAAAATGCAATAGTTGCAGCGGGAGATAAGTCCATCCACTCTATATAGTGTGGATGGAGGAATCTGTTAGATTGTTTTTCATCCAGCCCAGTGTATGGCCAGCTTTAGAAACAGGGACAGGCAGTTTCATAAGGAAAGGTCAGCACTGGCAGTCTATGTCATGTGTTGCTCTCAGCACAGGTTTCCCTTAATAAACGTATCTGCCATGTTGTTTGGAAGAATGAGGAAGGGACACAGACGTTATGGACAGAAGCATTCGGAAAGTCGATATACCACATTCATGTAGTTGGGAGCAGTGATCTCAGCGTTTAGACTCTGACAGTGTTCCCGCTGATCTTCTTGTGAGGAGGTTATGAGCACTAGAGGTTGGGAAGGCACTAATTCTCCTACAGACCAGCCAGTGAAATCATGAGTTAAGGAATTGCTTCCAGACAAGCTGTGGCAGGTCTGTAAAGACAGTTGAAGGAAGACACATTACATCTGCTGTTGGGGATAACGGTCTGTGCACATTGAGGCACCGGCTACAACACAGAAAAGGGCCGAGGAAATGAATACAATTTATATCTTTCCTATTTGTCGTCGATTTGCGTGCGTAGATTAGATTTACAAGATATTAGAACATTAAAGTGTATTTCCACTATGTTTCTTAATTTTCTAGATTTTTTCCTTGGAGTAGGCCTTTGGGCAGACTGCAACCTACTCTGAACATTCTGAAAGTGAACGTGTAAGGCGAGAGAGTAAGCTTTCTCTCATTACCATATAATGCTTAAAATCTTTAATCCTTATTTAGAACACACAGAGGGGAAATGATCAAAACTGGAGCAGACAAAATCTGGAGCAGCTGTGCACGGCAACCAATCAACTTCTCTCTTTCATTTTCAAATCTTAACTGAACAAACTGAAGAGAGAAGCTGATTGGTTGCCCAGAGAAACTGCTCTAGATTTTGTCTGCTCCAGTTTTGATAAATTTCCCTCTCAATGTTCCAATCTAGTTTACAACTGCCAATGAAGATCTGCCAGCAAAGCACAGGCAGAGTTAATTATGGTAAACATACGCTCCCCGGCCCACTCTTTAACATCACGTGACAGGAAAAAAAAAATTCAGTTTTGGAGTTTCCAGAATAGAGCAAGTAAAAATGTAATATGTATTTTTTTTAAGCTATGCTTTGTGAATGGGAACACGTGACAAATATAAACTAAGTGTTATCCCAATTTGCCTGCAACAGTGGAAATACACTTCAAGATCAACATTCCAAAACAAATCGCATGCAAATTTTCTCAGAAAGCAGAACAAGTTTTAAGACATTTGACAACATTTCTGAAACTACTGCTCTCACTGTGATAAGAGGGTTAACCCCATTCTTTGTTACTGAGCTTCACTGTATCCCAGAAGACAACCCTGAGGAAGCCAGAAGGCACCCCAGGGTGCCACAGCACCCTGGTTGAGAAAGGCCGCTCTGGACCAAAACGAGCAGTGAACCCTTGCAGTGGGTTTCAAATTCAAATTAATAAACTAAACATGAGATTGTAGTCCATCACAGGAGTGAGCTTGGAGCGGTGACTACTTTACAACACACACAGGGGCCATGGGGAACAAAAGTAGCCCCCTCCAGAAGGAAGGACAGTGTCGGCACCAATTCAGAGATGATTTGAGGATCTACAGCCGAGTGATACACAAATAAGATACATTTTTGTTAATAGTTAAGGTACTTGAATTCAATTTTAAGGCCTCATTCACACTAGACACTAACCCGATTCTGGCCAGAACACATTGCATCCAATTACGGCCGGCTCACTATGTTGTGGGGTAGGAGGGGGCGTGGCGGTCCATTGAAGTGAATGGCACCATAGCCACGCCCTCCGGCCACAATGTGATCGGCTGCACGGGAACACAAGGCACATTATGCCTGCGGTCCGATCAAAATGCTGCAAGCACTATTTTGATCGGAGTGGACCAGACCCCTCCTGCCCCACAACATAGTGAGCCGGCCGCAATGCGATGCCGTGCGTTCTGGCCAGAATTGGGCCGGTACGCACTGCGTCTAGTGTGAACGAGGCCTTAATCTTAACTCCTGAGTTTAGTGTCACTTTATAGGGAGAGACAGCTAGCCCAATGCAAGAATACAGCCAGTCAGCTTATATATTTCTCTTAGTGCAGGTTTCCTTTAACAATTGTGTTTGATTCAAACAGGGTTATTCACTAAAGGGTGAAGAGTTTGGAGAAGACAGGAGAAGTGGACAATCTAGGACAACATAGCTGATTTGGAGAAATTCTCCAATTCAGTTTACTTTCCAGTTCAGCCATGTTGTCCTAGATTGTTCACTTCTCTGGCCTTCTCCAAACTCTTCACCCCTTTGTGAATAACCCTGAAATACTTCTGCAAGCATTGATACCATTGAGGTGTTAGTTTTATGCTCACAAAGCAAGTCAAAGAGCAGTAAGTAAACAGCAGCAATGCCAATAAATTAATTCCAATTCATCTACCGTCTGACTTTAGTAAGTTGTAGTCAGCTTAGTAATTGTTTCTGTGGTTTACTGAATATTGCAAATCATCACCGCTCTTTGTTCTCTTTAATAAGTCTGTAGATTTTTTCTCTATCTGCTTCATGTTGAAAGCAGAACTCAACCAAAAATAACATAAGTGAATAGCCCACTAAAAAATAAAAGAATGAAACCAGCAATGCAACATTCCAGGGTTATTTTTCTTTTAATAAAGCATAATAAAATGCTGCCTTCTGTTTTTAAAAATTATGCTTACTTTTATTAATTCTGTTCTCTGTCCCAAATAGGAGACAGATCCACCGGTGGATGCACAGCCCCAGCTCCTCATGAGTGAGGGCCTTGTCCACACCATGTCCGGATCATGTCCAGACCAGAACAGTTTGTTCCTGGACCAAAAAGCATCCTGGTGTATCCCTATGGTATTTCTGTGCTCTGTTCACATCAGCGCAGTCCATTCCGGACCAGACAAAAAAAAAAATACTGCTTGTCTCATTTTGTCTGGTCTGGAATGCATCAAGGACGCATACAAACTCACTGGAACGCACCTGTACGCATATTTTAAGCTAAAAAAAAAAAAACCTCTTTCAAACGCGGCAAAAATGCAGTAAAACGCAATGCACCGCATTCCAGATCTGGTCCGGAAAATGATGTGAACCTGGCCTGAGCACCCGGCTAGGAGAATTCGGTTTGGTTAGCAAACACAATAAAATTCAAGACAAGATGGTAAGCAGGGCCCTGCCACTGAGGGCTTACACTCTAAAAGGGAGGGGCAAGTGATACATGTGGGGGGATGAATTGTTTGAAAACGTGATGGTTGAGTGGTTAGGTTGAGGTGGGATAGGCTTCCCTGAAGGGATGAGTCTTTAGGGATCGCCTAAAGTCAGTCAGAGTGGGAGATAGATGAACAGGTTGGGGTAAAGAGAATGGGAGAGACTCTAGAGAAGTCCTGGAGGCGAGTATGGGAGGAGCTGGAAAGCAGGAGGTCTTGGGAGGAGCAGAGGGGACGTTTAGAGTGATATTTTGAGACAAGGTTTGAGATATAGCTGGGGGCAGAGTTGTGGATGGCTTTGTAAGTGGTTGTTAATATTTAGAATTTTATCCTTTATCCTGCGTATCCAACAGCAGCATTAATAACAGTAAGCGTCATTTTTAAAAGCAGAAGGCAGCATTTCAATATGCATTGTTGTTAATGGATTTTTGAGAAAATAAAACATTAGGGGCTCATTCACATTGGCGGGCACACACTTGCAGAGATCTTCTCCCGTAAGGGACAGGTGCTGCGTGTAATTGTGTGCAACTGTCTGTACCTCCTTATGGAAGGATGCATGTGGCCAAACGACCAATCTGAACCTGTGCATCCATGCAGGTCCAGGTGCCCACACATGGATGCACACCCAGACCTGTACGGAAGTGCAGGCTCCGGTTGGCCTGTAGCTGCATTCAGCTGTGGCCTCCCATATGGAGGTACAGGTGGCTGTATGTAGAAAAATGCAGCACCTGTACCTCCTTGGAGCAGGTCTCTTAACAGGCATGCATGCTGTGTGGATGAGGGCTAAAAGGTAAACTAACTCTTTAATCTAAAGATGCCTCCAGCACTACTTCTTTTTCTGCCACTAGATGTTCTCAGTCTGATAGCCAGCTTCATTCAACCCACTTCCTCTGTGCCCCAGTCTTCCCTCCCCCAGCCTGTGACTGGACAGCAAAAGGAGAAGCAGCACCGTGATGAGCTCATCTCTCCATCACTCTGCTCTCTCCTATCAACATGCTTCTCGTCAGCACATGAACTGATTGGTTCCTTATACTGCTTTTTCTCTCACACTCCAGCTCTGCTTTACATGGACTATAATACCAGGTCTAACTCAGGTACTTACACTGCTTGCATTTAAAAAATAAATTAATTATGTATTTGTGATTACAGGGCTCCATTTATTTGTGTCTTGTGTATCTGCCTGAAGTTCAGCTTTAAAGTGTAAATAAAGTAGAAACCTTTTTTTTTGTAGCAAAAGATTAAACCCTCTCTCAGGTTATATTTTGCTGCCTGTGTCCACTGGGGAGGTTTCCCTTTACATCCTGTCCTGAAGACACAACAAGAAATTAGAAAAACCCTTTGCAAAGTAAATGGAATCCCCATCTAAGGCGAGACATGCACAATCAAATTTATTTTCCATGCTACCCGGCATGGAAAGAGGAACCCTCTTCTGGCTCACACAGTGACTGCATCAGATTGGAAAAAGTCACTGTTTAGCCATCAATTTTTTATTTTTCAGTTGAAGTTTGTAGAGCCAGGTGGTGCCAACAAGGTCGCCCACGCCTCAAAGTTTGTCCAATATAGCCAAAATTCAAGCTGTGTATTGATAAGGGTTGTCACAGAAACAAGGGTCACCATTGGATGATTTCCTCTCTCCATTTGCTCTGGTGACAATGTGTGTTAATAACATTGGTCAGCAGGACAAATTGAAAGCGTGAATCTGCCCAGGGAGGACACAAGCAGCAACAGAAACCTGAGAACGGGTCTCACCCCTCCCTACTCTATCCAAACCTAAAAAGAAGTTCCCTTTAAACACATTTTAACTCTTAAATGATTATTAGATCATTGCATGCAAGGTCCATATTGCAGAAAGAGAGAGAATGATTAGTTGGTTTATTGGGAAGTATATAGACAGGCCCAACCATGCACACGGAAATAAATACATTCGGCTGCATTCAAATTTGGTAACTACCTTATCAGAGCTGCCGTTACCCAGATCTGACTCGTTGGAGCTGCCAAAATAAAGGCGCCATATGTTGGACTTGGGCTCTTCCGGGGGAATTCTGATCATTTCTAGAGAGGTAAGGGAGTGATCTAAGACACTATCCGCTTCTCCCCCTGATTCATCAGACACGCTGCTTTGGTTCAGGAATATCATTGACGAGAGGCTTGCATCGCTGTCAGAACCGGAACTACTATCCTGAAAGTAGCAAAAGGCAAGTATTAGAAAACCATCCTCCTTGTTGTGTCTACAACACTACCCTCTGACTCTGAGTTATACGTCACACTATCCTCTGACTCTGAGCTATGCTTCACACTACTATCCTCTGACTCTGCACTATACGTCACACTATCCTCTGACTCTGCACTATACGTCACACTATCCTCTGACTCTGCGCCATGCTTCACACTATCCTCTGACTCTGCGCCATGCTTCACACTATCCTCTGACTCTGCGCCATGCTTCACACTATCCTCTGACTCTGCGCCATGCTTCACACTATCCTCTGACTCTGCGCCATGCTTCACACTATCCTCTGACTCTGCGCCATGCTTCACACTATCCTCTGACTCTGCGCCATGCTTCACACTATCCTCTGACTCTGCGCCATGCTTCACACTATCCTCTGACTCTGCGCCATGCTTCACACTATCCTCTGACTCTGCGCCATGCTTCACACTATCCTCTGACTCTGCGCCATGCTTCACACTATCCTCTGACTCTGCGCCATGCTTCACACTATCCTCTGACTCTGCGCCATGCTTCACACTATCCTCTGACTCTGCGCCATGCTTCACACTATCCTCTGACTCTGCGCCATGCTTCACACTATCCTCTGACTCTGCGCCATGCTTCACACTATCCTCTGACTCTGCGCCATGCTTCACACTATCCTCTGACTCTGCACTATACGTCACACTATCCTCTGACTCTGCACTATACGTCACACTATCCTCTGACTCTGCACTATACGTCACGACTATCCTCTGACTCTGAGCTATACTTCACACTATCCTCTGACTCTAAGCTATACTTCACACTATCCTCTGACTCTGAGCTATGCTTCACACTATCCTCTGACTCTGAGCTATACTTCACACTATCCTCTGACTCTAAGCTATACTTCACACTATCCTCTGACTCTGAGCTATACTTCACACTATCCTCTGACTCTGCGCTATGCTTCACATTATCCTCTGACTCTGAGCTATGCTTCACATTATCCTCTGACTCTGAGCTATGCTTCACATTATCCTCTGACTCTGAGCTATGCTTCACATTATCCTCTGAATCTAAGCTATGCTTTACACTTGGAGCTAGGAGCAGTAAGCTCTTCCTGCCATTGTTCCTGTCTTTGTTTTAGCTCACACTTAAGTCTTTTTCCTCCCACCGAATTCTCTAGACTTGGACAGACATACTTGTACTAGTGTGCTAGGCCCAAAGCTTGCATGGATGGCTTCCAGCTGGGCATTGTACAGCAAAGCTTTCAGATCAGCTCCGGTGAAGTTTTCCGTCACACTGGCCATGTGCTGCAGATCCACATCATCATCTAAGAGCATCGACTGACTCAGGCATTTTAGGATTTCATATCGGGAAGCCTTCAGTATGCGTACAAACATAGAAACCCAAATAAATCAGAATGGAATAAAACTAACTCTACAAAGAAATCTGTTTAATTAGAAAGGTTTAAAAAACAAAAATGAATGCTCATGTATATTGACTGTACCAAAACCATATAAATATGACACAAACTTGGAAAATTTACACCCCTCCCCTGCTAGACAGGGCTGTGTTGTGTGGCAGAGCTGTGTAAATCTTAGAACTAGATGGACAGAAATACATATGCTGGTAAAACAGCTTAAATACTGTATACATTATACTGATGGAATACATATACAGGATTTTACATTATACAGTATACATTTAGCAGTATGACTGGAGTAGAGCTTTACTATTGCTCACATTGACCACCCACTGGCAACACATAACAGGGAAATTATACTTTTTAACAAAAAAGAAGTGTTTCCTAAAATCCTGGGGTGCCATTCTCCTCTGAATACTGTTCATACACTTATGTTTTTACATTTGCTGACCTGGTCTGGAGGAGGGCAGTACAGACACTCATCCAAGCGCCCGGGTCGGAGAAGAGCAGGGTCGATCAAATCTGGACGGCTGGTAGCTGCCAGTACATAAACTCCTATAGAAAAAAGAATCCAACAGAAATAAAGAATGACCCTTCACAGTGATCCTGTATATGTATGGAATGTGTGTTCAAAAAAGACCCTTACCATGTAATCCCTCCACCCCATCTAGCTGGGTCAGCATTTGGTTGACCACCCTGTCAGTAACACCGGTATTGTCATGACCTCGCCGAGGCGCGATGGAATCAAACTCATCGAAGAAGAGGATACAGGGCTTAGCGGCCTGCGCTCTGCAGTCACATGATACAAGAAAGACAATGATCAATGGACCAATCATGACAATGAACAATGGGTCAGTGATGACAAATGAATCAACAGTCCATTATGAACTGATCGATATATCAGAGAGTACAGCGGAAGTCTAACACAATCTAGCTCTGTCCACCATCAGACTTGTTGCTTTCATATGTGAAACATAGCTTGTGTGGTGAAGCCCATGTGCAGTGAACAGTGTGTACCTGTTCTATGGAGAAGAGTCCTCTCACACAGATCTTCCAAAAAGTGCCTATGATAGTCATAATAGCTCTTACTGACCCCCCACCCCCCAATATATTGCCAAATCTTTGCACATTTATCACAGGTGCTGCTCAAACCACTATGGTGCTATGTGATTCCACCCCAAATGTCATTGTGAGGTCTTGCTATTTTTAATTGCCTTATACATACATCTTTATGACATATACGTTACCTTGTAAAGACGTCTCGTACCGCCTGCTCACTTGCTCCAATGTATTTGCTGAGAAGCTCTGGGCCCTGAAGAGATACGATCGGTGTCATGTGAGAAATATAACCACACATTTTCTTTCCACTTTTTCAAGGGAGACGCTGATACAAATAAATCACATTTATAAAACTGTATGACTAATGTGCAAACCCAAATAATAGTTATTTTCATTAACCTCTTGCCGTCCGCCCGTAGTAGAAAAACGGACGGACGGCACTGATTTTTCATTTTTTTATATATATTTTCAGGACATTAGAGGCTTGGTTATTCGGTTATATGTTTTAATAAACCCTTCATTCCCATGGACGCAAATACAAGCGCATGGGCATACAGAGTAAAAATAAACCTGTATTTGCAGCTCCCGGTAGCCCCAGCTGCTGCGTTTTTCTGTATGGACACAATAAGCTGTACGAGAGTATATGCGTGTAGAAAGAGAAGGCTAATTGCACTCCTTACCGGTAAAACCCCGTAGTCGGGGTGCTTGGAATGACTGCGGACGGCCCCGCCAAATATAGATACTTGCAGTAACGTTATCAGCACACCAAAATCCTTATAGGGTCATAAATCGTAGATTTATTGCGAACTCATGTCAGTTACACAAGAGCTTTTTGGGGCCACGCAGGGTCCCTTCATCAGGCATAGCAATGACCATCATTTTCTATACTCACCTTGATGCTGATGAAGTTCATCCCACTTTCATGAGCTACAACACCAGCTAGCAAAGTCTTCCCGGTGCCTGGAGCGCCATACAACAAAATTCCAGATCTGTGCCGTATAGGAAGGGCCGCAAATACCTCCGGATACTTCAAGTTGAAAAAAAGCACAACAAGATTTATTGTAATTTATTCATTCTTTTTTTTCATTTATAGATTTGGTTTTACAAGGATGCGCTTTTTTTAATGTATGAAAACAATTACTTTTAAAGCAATTCCACTCAAATGTCACCCTAAAAATGAATTTCTCTTATTTGCTTCCTTTCGGTCTGTTAATAGACTGTTAAAAGTGATTTGTTCTATTTGTACGATGAGTGCCGAAACCCATTGGTCCTGCCAGAAATCCAGTGCTGTCCTGTGTGCTCTGCAGTGTTATCAGCCCTGCCCAGGTCATCTCTGTGAACTATAGAACACCTCCTCCTATGTTATGGAATAGAGAAGAGGAGAGGGAAGTGTTGTGCAGTCCTTTCCTAGGGTGACAACACTGCTTCTCTATAGAGTGGAGTGAGTACAGCCATACACAGAGCGAATTTCGTCAGTTTCCAGCTGTATCAGTGGAGATTTGATCCATTGCTGGACCTGCCGGCACTACCATTGGCTGCAGTCAGTATTTAGTAGGGATGCACCGATACCGATACTAGTATCAGTGCCAATGCCGCGCGATCAGGAAGCTGGACGGTGACTAATGACCACCCGCCTCCAGATTGGCCGAGAACTCGGCTCCCCGAAGGCGGTTCATTACTTGCCGCCTGGCTTCCTGAAAGGCCGGGTAGCCGGCTTGATGCTTATTGGCTGGGAAGCAGGTTTCCCGTCCAAGCACAATCCGAAGCCAGCCAGACAACATGGAGCAAGCTTCTCAAGCAATCAGATTGCCCGGGAAGCCGGCTTCAATGCTGCGGAAGCACCGGTATCATAACTCAGTATCAATGAGTACCGAAAGCAAAGTATCGGTACTCGTACCTGATACTGAAAGACCGGTATCAGTGCATCCCTAGTATTTAGCCAACAATTTTCCACCCAACTCCTCTGAAAGAAGCGGGTTGAAAAGTTGATATTCATCATGCTGGATGCTCCACCCATGGATTGAATTTTGGCTGATTCAGCAGGAAATAGCCAAAATTGTATTTGTGTATGGCCATCTTTAGCCATCTGATAAGAGATGATAAGGCCGCCCGCGGCTGTCACAATACAATAGCCGGCACAGGAGGTTCCTCCAGCCACACTCTTTAGGATGGATGGGGGACCTAAGTATGACCAGCATGGAAGAAGGTGCATGGCTAGGAATGCCCTGAAGATGGTTAGCCCTGATGGCAGTTTGATCAATCCGACACATCTGACTTCTAAATTCTATGGGCAGCTGTACACATGACAGTCATCTCACCTGAATCCCAGGATTTATACTTTGTGGCCTAAAGGTGTTTTTCGTTATCCATGAAGAAAGTGTGAAACCCTCTGACATGGCAGACAATGTTAATCAGTAGAACGTGGAATCACCAGGGGTGGGAACTTGCCGGAAATGTCCCGGCAATGCCGGAATATTTGATGCAGTTACCGGGTCATTACCGGAATGTTTACATCTCCCGAATTTCATTGATTCCAGGGATGTACAGCAAAGTGCAGCATGCATGAGTAACACAGGGTGTGCTTTGATTTCACCATTGAGAGGAGGAGGACTGGAAGGAAGGATTGGCAGTGGGCAGGAAATAGAGGAGTGGGTGGGAGGAGGAGGAGGTGCCCTCAGCATTGTTAGTGGTGTGTGCACCATGCTCCCACCTATTCACCATTCCCTTGACACTGACAATACACCTGGCTCCCACCTATCCACCATTCCCTTGACACTGGCAATGCACCTGGCTCCCACCTATCCACCATTCCATTGACACTGACAATACACCTGGCTCCCACCTATCCACAATTCCCTTGACACTGGCAATGCACTTGGCTCCCACCTATAGGCACTGTTAATACCAGTGGGATGGTGGATAGGTGGGAGGCAAGTGCACTGTCAGTGTCAATAGAATGGTATACACACAGTGCCTCCATTCTGTAGACTGCGGACATATCGTTTAGGCCCCTCCCAGTTTTTTTCTTTTTAAAGCTCACCCATAGCCCCGCCCGCACCCCCAAACAGTCTCTGGACTTTCTACATTTCTATAAGTTCCCAGGTATGGGAATCACACTGGTTATTGCTGCAGACAGAAACTATTTTCTATATCATTTTTATAATTTATTATATGAAACTATCCAAAAGAGAAAAGCACATATGAAGTATCCCGCTACATACAACTACTGCACCAACCCCCATGTACTTATGTTTTATCATTGTTGGCTAACAAGTCATGTACCTTGGCTGGTAACTCAATTGTGTCCATGAGAGTCTGTCTGATGTCATGCAATCCTCCCACCATGGTCCAGCCTTGTTCTTTTGCTTTATGTAAGTTGGCGTTCTTCAGGGACAAGGGAGTGAAACCTTTCAGAGCTTTCTGGAAGTCTGACGTTGTCAAAAGCAAGTCTGCATGGATACATGGTAAAGAGAAAAGTAAAAGTCAGTGGTACTCATTATTAATATTTAATTTATTATACTTATTATATTTATTATTGTTTAAACGAGTTCTAAAGTCCCAACTTATCCTATCCTGTTATAAGATCAGCATTGTAATATGTGGACGTAGCCAGTTCCACAAAGACATCATTTGATGAGTTTGGTCTGGTGGAACTCACGTGGCCTCCATGGAGCCCTGACCTCAACCAAACTGAATCCCTTTGGGATGATTTGGAACGCCGTTTCTGAGCCAGGTCTTCTCATCCTCCATCAGCAGCTGACCGCACTCATACTATTTTGGCTAATTAGGCACAAATTCGCACAGACACAAACCGTGTGATAAATGTTCCCAGAAGCTGTTCACTCCCTTTTTTTCGTTAATGTTTACATGTTGTAATCCACATTTTAAGCCTGAAAATAACTTAAAACCACCAAACATGATATATTTTCTGATAGCTGATACCCCATAGAATAAAAAGTTGGTAGCTGCAAATTTTTATGTGTCACGACATTAGCGCAACCTATTTGCAAACCCAAAAATTTAGTGAACATTTTTTAAAATTATTTTTACATTTATTTTATTTAATATTATTTTTAAAAGCTTTTTTTTTTTTTAAACTTTACTTTAATTGCTATCACATTGGGGGGCTACAAGCCCACCATGTGATATCAGATTGGTGATGACAGGTCCTCTTTAAGGTGATACTGGGGGTCCAAAAGACCCCTAGTGTCACCTTCCCACTCTAAATAAGCTATTGAACTGCAGATCAATATTGCTTATTGATGAGCTTCAGGAGCCGAGCAATGACAGCTCAGGGAAGTGATGCAATCCATGTTGCTCCCGGCCCCATAGAACAGGGAGGAGATTGGTGAACGGACGTTCGTCAATCTCCTCCCCAGCTTCCTGCTGACACCCGAGATGCCGATCCTAGCTGGCCACTGGCTCTACAAATATGAACAGAGTCCCGGTGGCTTTTAGTCTGTTTAACCCCTTAAGGACTCATGACAGGATTATCCCGTAATGGGTTATGAAGGGGTTAAAGCTCCAGAGTTGGAAGGGGGGATTCCATATTAATGCCTATCGTTTTGGAATGTGATGGCCAACAAGCTCATGTAAATGTGATGGTCAGGTGTCCACAAACCTTCCACCGCATACAGCATATAGTAATTAGAGCTATCAATACAGATTATAAAAAAATAATTAGAACATTATGTTACCTTGTTTGTTGTGTATCTTCCTGGTGGCAAAACTAAATTCTACGGCTCTTTCCACGACCATGGTAAAATCTTTTGCAGCAAATCCTTCTGTTTCTTTAGCAATGTAATGCAGATCAAGGTCTTGAAACCGAGTGATATCGCAGGAAAGTCTGTTTTCTATAATACTACGCATCATTTCAAATCTTTCTTTCTACAAATAAACAAAGAAAAAACCGAGATGCCTAAATGGATCATAAAACATATTCCCCCATATTTGTCTGTTATCGACTACTGAATGCACTGCACTATGCAGATTATTGTTATATATGATCTATCTATCTATCTATCTATCTTTCTGCAGCACTTTAGAAAATATAAAGGGAGACAGTATGGTTACAATACAATTCAATACAAGAGCGTTAAGAGGGTCCTGCTCATGAGAGCTTGCAATCCAAAGGAAGATGCAAGTGATACCAAAGATTGCAACCATGAGGGGATGAGTAAATAGAGAAATTAAAATTCAGTCATAGGGTAGAGGTGGCATAGGCTTTCCTGAATTCAGGAGTTGTCAAGGATCGCCTAAATAGAATAGGAGATCGTTTCAGGGAAGTGGTGCAGATCGTTTTGGAGCCAGCAGCAATGAACACGGACCATAGGTAAGTGTTTGGGGCAGGGAGGCATGAAAAGGTACAGGGCGTTTCTTTTACCTTAAAGTGACACTAAACTCAGGAGTTAACCCTTAAAAATGCGTTCAAGTACCTGAACTACTAACAAAAATGTATCTTATTTGTGTATCACTTGGCTGTAGATCCTCAAATCATCTCTGAATTGGCGCTGACACTGTGCTTCCTTCTGGAGGGTGGCTACTTTTGTTCCTCATGGTCCCTGTGTGTGTTGTAAAGTAGTCACCTCTCCAAGCTCACTCCCGTGATGGACTACAATCCCAATACAAATTAGTAAACTAAACATGGGATTGTAGTCCATCCTGGGAGTGAGCTTGGAGCGGTGACTACTTTACAACACACCCTGTGACCATGGGGAACAAAAGTAGCCCCCCTCCAGAAGGAAGGACAGTGTCAGCACCAATTCAGAGATGATTTGAGGATCTACAGCCGAGTGATACACAAATAAGATACATTTTTGTTAATAGTTATGGTACTTGAATGCAGTTATAAGGTTTAATGCCTGTGTTTAGTGTCACTTTAATGCAGAGAATGCCTTAGGAAAAAAACGCACAGCCCACAATATAAATATACTAATGAAACAGAGCGGATGGTAAAGTGAATTGAATGTTACTCCTATCTGCAACTGTCTCTATGAAAAGTACCCAGACATAGAAACTAAAAGTATCTATTGGAGTAATCAGTGTATCATTTCATATTCATATCTCATGTTCATCTTCCTCGTATAAAGCCAGTAAAACAGAATCAAGTTCTTCCACTATTAGGTCTACACTTACCTGAGCTGGTGGTGAAACAGTTTTAAGGCACTGAAAGAGATGGACTCCTTGTGTAGAGACCAGGACAGGGTTTAGGGAGCGCTCTGTCTGGCTAGTTGCTATAACAGCAATTTGGGTGTCCAAGGTCATTATTTCCTTCATCAGATCTTTCAGAACTGAAACACAGAAAAGAATGAATGCGACATCACATTGATTCGCTTTCCCTTAGCCTCACTGGTCACATCTGTTTGCATATCAGAGGGGTACATTAACATTCCGATACAGTATGCACAATAAATTCCCTATAAATAAAATATGTTCAATAAATACACACAGTGTAATTTAAGCGTATCTAAACCCCCCAAAAATGCAATATATTGCAGTTTACCTGACCTTAGATGTGGTGGCTGCATTAGATTTAGTTTTTTTCAGGCTTCTTTCTTGAATTTTCCCCTGTTGTTCCTGTCAATAACACAATTCCTGTCCTTGGGTGACTATGCTCACTAGCTGCACTGTATCTATGGAGGAGCAGCGTTGTCACCCTAGTACATCCTTTTCTAACACCTTGGGATATCTTCTAACTTCATAGCATCATGCCTTTCCATGGTGCAGACAGGCTTCTGATCTGAAGGGGGGACTCTGATGCGAAAGGGGGGAGCTCTAATGCAAAAGGGGGGACTCTGATGCGAAAGGTGGATTTATGATGTGAACAGGGCTCCTGATGTGAGGCCACAACATCTAAGGAATGATAAGCTGCTACTTTTATGTTCTTGGGTTTAGATATAACCCATCATATTACAGGTCTGGGTTTGTGGGCAGCTCGCATGAATGTTCATTTGCTTTTCTGCCAAAACAAAGCAGGAATAAGAAAGTCCTAGAGGACTGAAGGCCCATTCACACCAACAACTGCGTTACAACGCATGGCTGCTGGCTTGTGTTGCCTGGCACAGTGCTGATGTACCAATCCCAGTATGTTGCATTGTTTACCCCTCCTTTTTTTTAAAGAAATGTCATTATCTTTTATGGGCACGGCGTGGTGCAAGGCAGTTGCACCCCGCTGCTCTGAAAAAATGACTGCATGAACTGTGCCCATCTATGACAAGGAAGGAGGTGCCAGAATGCAGAAGTAATTTCAGCAGTAGGGTCTGTAGCAGGGGTAGGCAAACTCTGGCCCTCCAGGTGTAGTGAAACTACAAATTCCATCATGCATCTGTCTCTGGGAGTCATGCTTGTGGCTGTCAAAATCTTGCAATGCCTTATGGGATTTGTAGTTGCACCACAGCTGGAGATCCGGAGTTTGCCTGCCTCTGTTCTATAGTATATCCATTGGGAAGTGTAGCCCCCTAATAGGGACCACTCTACCCACCACTGCTGTACCCAGGAAGAGAGAGATTGTTTTTCATTTTACAGTGGGGAACTGTCAGGATTTGTCATCAATTTCTGTGTCCCTGATGACAAGATTCATCCTCTCTATTTGTCCCAGTTCACCACAGTCAACATATCAGAACGTGATAAGACCTCTATGCAAACCATCAAAGTGCCACATAACTTTAGCGATGTGACAACTGTCAAAGAGGGGATTTCCACACATGTTCTGGACCGGCTTTGTTTTTGCGGTTTGCTTTGCCATGCAAGTTTTAATTTACAAGACAAGGTAAGAAATCAGTACCTGGCTACATGGAAGACCTGAACGTACCGTAGGAAAACTGCTTGCTCTGGGCAGATTCGGGGCTGTGCTCCAATTCTGGTGTCGCTGGAACACCGGCAATTTGATCCAGATCATCCAGAATTACGACAGCTGGCTGCCTCCATGCTGCCTCAGCGAAAGCTTCCTCCACAGTCTGACATATGCTCTCAAGCGTCTTTCCTAAAACACGGAGACAATTTAAAAAAGTAGAAGATATAGGGAGCTACCTTTCATCTTTGGTGTTGCTGTAATCAAGTATCATGACTTTCATTAAAGCTGAACTCCCGGAACAGATAAATACACAGATGAGATACAAACTGTAGAGGTTAACTGCTTTACCTGCCAAAGGATTTGTATTTCTCTCTATCCAGTCCTGATATTTACACAGCTCTGCCACATAGTCCATTCCTATCTGGCAGGGAAACAAGCCTGATCTTTCTCTGCTGTAGTTTCACTTACAGGTCTCCTCCCCACCCTGTAACTGGACAGTGAAGGGAGAAGCAGCACACTGATGAGCTTGTCTCATTGTCACACTGCTCTTCCCCCTCTATCAGCATGCTCCTTGTTTACAACACTCCTGACTGGTTTCCTGTGCTGCTTCCCCTTCCCCCTCTCTGCGCCCTGTTGTACAGACTGTATAGCAGACTACAATAGGCTGATACCAGATCACATTTTTGTACTTACACTCCTACAGAGCTGCATAAATGTGTGTTTTTTGTAGGGATGCAACGATACCAATACTAGTATCGGTGCCGATACTGAGTATTTGGGCGAGTACTCGTATGCACCCAAATGCTCCGGTGCCTTTTCCGCTACCGGAACTTCCTGTCAGAGGGAGATCTCCTTCTGACCGGCAGTGAACATGGGGCCAGCTTTCCAGTCAATCAGGAATGACCCGTCTCACGGCTTCCTGATTGGCTAGAATGCCGGCTTTACTCGTTGCTAGGCAGCCTGCCTTTCTGACCAATCATGAAGCCGGGAGGCACGTCATGACCTGCCGCCTGGCTTCCTAAATTGGTCAGGGAGCCAGGCTGCCTCGCAGCGCTGCGAGGGGAGTGAAGCCGGTGTTTTTTTATACAATACCAGCTTTCTTGGCAGTCATGACCCATCGTCCGGCTTCCTGATAATCCGGGACCATGGATGCTGGTATCGGTATCGGCAAGTACTGAAAACACATTATCGGTACTCGTACTCGAAACCGAAAAACCGGTAGCAGGGCATCCCTAATTTTTTGTATATCTGCCTAGAGTTCAGCTTTAGGCCTCGTTCACACCTGAACGTTTTGTAGCGCGTTCTACGCTCGAGGAACGCTCAAACATCTAAATCCCATTGTATTCAATGGGTCTGGTTCACACCTTGGCGTATTTCAGCCCGTCCCTAACGCGCTACAAAACGGCCCATGCCTGAAAAGGTACATTTACTACTTTGGGCCGTTTTTGTTGCGCGTTTCCATTGGGATACAGCCAAGTAGCCCTCGGAAACGCGCGTAAAAAAACGCGCGACAACCGCGCGACAGACGCGCATATGCAATACGCCTAGGTGTGAACCAGGCCTCAAAGCGGATCTTTCAGTGAAATGTATACTCCATATAAAACAATGTGATACATTTCCACATTAGCAAATCATATTACTTTATTATTACTTTTAGAATGTACGCCCTCAGGGGCAGGGCCCTCCTTACCATCTTGTCTTAAATTGTATTGTGACTGTAATGTCTTCCTTATATTGTAAAGCGCTGTGCAAACTATTGGCGCTATATAAATCCTGTATAATAATAATAATTATTATTATTTGGCGTATACAGATACCCCTTTCCGGCCTGTTCACCAGCTCTCTCTAAAATCTGAAGCCTAGGCAGTCTAGGTCCCATGGTCTCTGGCTGCAAAGAGCATTGTTGTTGTTTTAGGTAATTAGAGACTTCAGCGATTTCCAATCATTTTAGTCAGTTCCCCTTTAAGTGAAGCCAAGTGAAGCCGCGTTCATAACATCACATATAAAAGTACAGCGGGATGTGATTGTACCTTTCAGCACCTTGCAGTCTATTTCTTCCACATGAGCTTCCAGGCTCTCAAATGCTTCTTTACACAATGCCCTTGCTATGGTGGACTTTCCACAGCCCTAAGAAAAAAAACATATGGCTATTATGTGATATAAATCCTTTTTTAAAGTGAATCTATCATAGTTGCCAGTCATTTTTATTTGCTAAGTTTATAAAGTCATCTTTTTTATATATTTAATTGCTTATAATAAATCTTCTTCTACAAATACACATTTAGAAAATGCTTCCATGACACTGCATTTGCAGAGCATGCTGGTCTTTTTAAAAGGAAAGGCCTGGCTGTTCACTATTTGACTTCGATCTGAAAAACTATAGGGCTATGTATAGGAGGTAGGGGAGGGCACGTCCGACCTCGGATTCATTCAGCTGTAGGTTGTGAATAGAATTGTATAGGAGGAGATTAAATTACACAGGCTACTCACAGCATAGTATTAAATGACTAAGGAACTGCTTGGAGTGCACCATCTATTGGATGGAAGCTACAAAACCACTATCAGAACATCTGACCTCCTTTGTCTATAGCCAGCCTGAAATTACCCATGGACATAAGATGGCTACGTTGTCCACTCCCGGCAATTATCTTCCTATCAGCAGGTATAAGCTGCAGACACCCCTGACTGCTTTCCTTCAACAAGTGACCGGCTTTAGTGGACTTTTTTCCAATAGGGTTGTTTTCCATGAGCATGCACTGGGGGTGCCTGGCTCTTCTCCCCTTTCCCTGAACACATGTTACAATGTCTTTTATTTGGGGCACAGCTCCCAGAGTTCAGTTCCTTTTTAGATGCACAGATGTTAGAGACAAATGGAAATGTAATGATACCTTTGGTCCAGAAAGGAGGATGGCTCCACTCCGAAGCCCTGAAGATGTAGAGACTAGATATCTAGACAATGGACTCCCCATTACACAATGAACAATATGATCATAGCAGGATACGAGCACGTCTTCAACACCACTGCAAAATAAACACATTACACAGTATGATCTCCTGCCTTGCATAGAAAAGAGAACACTCATTAAAAAAGAGCCTGATAGGATGCACATTTGGAAGCTACCACTGCAGACTTGTTTTTAAATATACAACATCTTGGACTGTCAATGGTTTTAGCAGAATCAATGCCAGGACTTCCAATGATACTCACCGAATCCCTGCCAGGACTTCCAATGGTACATTCAGAATCCGTGCCAGGACTTCCAATGGTACTTTCAGAATCCGTGCCAGGACTTCTAATGGTACTTTCAGAATCCCTGCCAGGACTTCCAATGGTACTTTCAGAATCTCTACCAGGACTTCCAATGGTACTTTCAGAATCCCTACCAGAATTTCCAATGGTACTTTCAGAATACCTGCCAGGACTTCCAATGGTACTTTCAGAATACCTGCCAGGACTTCCAATGGTACTTTTAGAATACCTGCCAGGACTTCCAATGGTACTTTCAGAATACCTGCCAGGACTTCCAATGGTACTTTCAGAATACCTGCCAGGACTTCCAATGGTACTTTCAGAATACCTGCCAGGACTTCCAATGGTACTTTAAAGAGAACACTCATTAAAAAAGAGCCTGATAGGATGCACATTTGGAAGCTACCACTGCAGACTTGTTTTTAAATATACAACATCTTGGACTGTCAATGGTTTTAGCAGAATCAATGCCAGGACTTCCAATGATACTCACCGAATCCCTGCCAGGACTTCCAATGGTACATTCAGAATCCGTGCCAGGACTTCCAATGGTACTTTCAGAATCCGTGCCAGGACTTCTAATGGTACTTTCAGAATCCCTGCCAGGACTTCCAATGGTACTTTCAGAATCTCTACCAGGACTTCCAATGGTACTTTCAGAATCCCTACCAGAATTTCCAATGGTACTTTCAGAATACCTGCCAGGACTTCCAATGGTACTTTCAGAATACCTGCCAGGACTTCCAATGGTACTTTCAGAATACCTGCCAGGACTTCCAATGGTACTTTTAGAATACCTGCCAGGACTTCCAATGGTACTTGCAGAATCTGTGCCTGATAGTTTTGGGTGTTCCCACCCACCTTTGTGTGTTCCAACTCCTCCTATTACTTTTTCAATAATATAAAATAAATACAAAATCCAACAAAAAGTGATGGAGCCCCTCACAATGGCCCCCACAGGTGGTTTCATTTTCTATCATCTACCTGACACCCAAATATTAGTTTTGGGTGGACTGTCCTTTTAACAAACTGTTAGTTTGCAAAAGTAATTGTATGTGCTCATGGGAACAAAATTGCTATACATACCCTAGGTTATTCATCTTCAGATATGGGAGGTTTTGATCGACTTGTGGAGTTTTTGGGGGATCTTCAGATGGCTTAAAGTCCATATCAACCTAGAGAAATTCAAGAAGACCTCAGAACCATAAAACAAACACTGTAGACCCTGCTGGCCGTAGGTCATAGTCCTTCCTCTTCTTCCTACTAATGAAGTAATGAAGCAGCTGAGCGCTGTGCTGTCCAGGAGTCAGGACCACCCACCACTGCCATCAGCGTTGAAGAAGGAAGACCCATGATTTCAGAAGACAGCAGTATTTGGTGACATTAAATATCTAAACCCAAAAATATTTCCATTCCACAAAATTTATGCAGCACTACCAAGGTAATATGAAATACTCATAACCGAGAAGGAATCATGCATTCAAAAACAAGATCATCAAGATGTTTAACAGGAACATATGGCTTCCCTTGGGGATTTAACTCCTCCTATTTCTGAAAATTAGCATAAGGGTGCTGGGGTGTTGGGTTTTGTTTGCATTAGAACGGCTTCTTTTCCCCATATAAGTCTTTTGGAATGGAAAAGTAGTTTGAAGCAGGTCAAATATGCAGGTCAGAAGAAGGTCAACTGCAGGTCACATGCAACTGTCAATGGCTACTACGAACATAGAAAACAAAATGGAACAGAGCGCCACCTCCGTGTGTAAAATTGTTTATTAAGATAAATAAAACAAGGGATACGTGTACTCACAAGCAAACGTTTTCATCAGGCTTTAACAACCAACAAGAGGCCACACTGTCTGTTAACCCAACATAGTATCGCCCTGACTATGTAACACGGTTGCCTCCGGCCACATCACCGTCCACCGGCCGCAGTCAGCCAAGATTGACACGTTTCAGGGGCAAGCCCCTTCATCAGAATCAGATGTTTGTTGTTAAAGTGTGATGAAAATGTTTGCTTGTGAGTACATTTATCCCTTGTTTTATTTATCTTAAAGGAAAACTATGAGGTGAGTGCTTTTCACTCACCTCATAGTTCTAGCCGACCTGTGACAATGACACTGTCACAGGTCGGCTCAGTAGATCGGGAAGTGAGCGAACACATACCGGCGTTCGCTCACCTCTCGATCCTGTCACAGCTCTCTGCCGTGACAGGAGAGTGGCTGGATTCCCCCCTCCCCGCTCCGATCCTCCAGCGCTGACTGGCGGAACGGACGGGGGAGGGGGCGGGTACAGCTGGCTCTGCCTCTAGATAGGCAGAGTCAGCTGTCACTCACGCAGCTGGGCGGATCCAGACATAATCTGCTTCAGCTGCGGCGTCTCAGTATATTTCAGTATATCACCAGCACAGCATGTTTAGATGAGAAGACAGGACACTGTATCAGGAAGTGACGTTTCAAGGCCTACTAGGATACTCTTCCTTAAAGGAGAACTATGCTCGCGGTATACTGAGCCTAGGGTGACGGGAGGACACTAGTTTGTGTACTCCCGTTACCCTAAGGAGAACTATGGGGAAAAGCCCTAACCCCATAGTTCTCCTTTAATAAAGATTTTACACACGGAGGTGGCGCTCTGTTCCCTTTTGTTTTCTATGTTCGTGGTGGAAGCCCCAGAGCCTTGGATGAGCAGCCCCTCAAGTCTGTGTGAAAAACTGTGATAAACTGTTGAAAACTTTAGAGTATGCAACAGCAAGTGGATCGTTCAGCTGGCAGCCATTAGCGCCAAGAGTTAAAGAAAACGTTTCGTCAATGGCTACTGATTGATCTCAAACTGATATAAAAAGCAAGCTGCGGGCCCTGATGGCCGATGCCACATACTCACACAGGTCAATGCTTTATACTTGATAGGCATCTATTTCTATCTACTGTTTTTATGTATACAGTGGCTGCGCCCACTGATTTAATAATAGGCGCTTTGGCCCCTTGTCTGTTTAGCTTTGATTGTAAATTGGAAAACTTAGAATGGAAAAGTAGTTTGAAGCAGGTCAAATATGCAGGTCAGAAGAAGGTCAACTGCAGGTCACATGCAACTGTCAATGGCTACTACGAACATAGAAAACAAAATGGAACAGAGCGCCACCTCCGTGTGTAAAATTGTTTATTAAGATAAATAAAACAAGGGATACGTGTACTCACAAGCAAACGTTTTCATCAGGCTTTAACAACCAACAAGAGGCCACACTGTCTGTTAACCCAACATAGTATCGCCCTGACTATGTAACACGGTTGCCTCCGGCCACATCACCGTCCACCGGCCGCAGTCAGCCAAGATTGACACGTTTCAGGGGCAAGCCCCTTCATCAGAATCAGATGTTTGTTGTTAAAGTGTGATGAAAATGTTTGCTTGTGAGTACATTTATCCCTTGTTTTATTTATCTTAAAGGAAAACTATGAGGTGAGTGCTTTTCACTCACCTCATAGTTCTAGCCGACCTGTGACAATGACACTGTCACAGGTCGGCTCAGTAGATCGGGAAGTGAGCGAACACATACCGGCGTTCGCTCACCTCTCGATCCTGTCACAGCTCTCTGCCGTGACAGGAGAGTGGCTGGATTCCCCCCTCCCCGCTCCGATCCTCCAGCGCTGACTGGCGGAACGGACGGGGGAGGGGGCGGGTACAGCTGGCTCTGCCTCTAGATAGGCAGAGTCAGCTGTCACTCACGCAGCTGGGCGGATCCAGACATAATCTGCTTCAGCTGCGGCGTCTCAGTATATTTCAGTATATCACCAGCACAGCATGTTTAGATGAGAAGACAGGACACTGTATCAGGAAGTGACGTTTCAAGGCCTACTAGGATACTCTTCCTTAAAGGAGAACTATGCTCGCGGTATACTGAGCCTAGGGTGACGGGAGGACACTAGTTTGTGTACTCCCGTTACCCTAAGGAGAACTATGGGGAAAAGCCCTAACCCCATAGTTCTCCTTTAATAAAGATTTTACACACGGAGGTGGCGCTCTGTTCCCTTTTGTTTTCTATGTTCGTGGTGGAAGCCCCAGAGCCTTGGATGAGCAGCCCCTCAAGTCTGTGTGAAAAACTGTGATAAACTGTTGAAAACTTTAGAGTATGCAACAGCAAGTGGATCGTTCAGCTGGCAGCCATTAGCGCCAAGAGTTAAAGAAAACGTTTCGTCAATGGCTACTGATTGATCTCAAACTGATATAAAAAGCAAGCTGCGGGCCCTGATGGCCGATGCCACATACTCACACAGGTCAATGCTTTATACTTGATAGGCATCTATTTCTATCTACTGTTTTTATGTATACAGTGGCTGCGCCCACTGATTTAATAATAGGCGCTTTGGCCCCTTGTCTGTTTAGCTTTGATTGTAAATTGGAAAACTTTGTACAATAAAAGAATTAAAAAAAAAAAAAGCAAGCTGCATTTGCAAATCAACACAAACCCAAAGTCCCTTATGCCAGCCATACACCATATGAAAGAAATCGCTTGATTCCCACATTCAAGGTAAACAGCACGGATTAAGGAATCTCCCCTGCTGGCAACTGCGGCCGTCTAAATACCCCAATAGTGACTGCATCTGTTTGGATGCATTCAATGATTGTCCAACAATTTTCCGCCCCGGTGGTGCCAGCAGGGCCACCCAGTGATCAAATTTCATTTGATTCAGCCGGAAACGGACAGAATTCTAACCATGGATGGCCAGCTTTACGTATCTAATCTGTTCAGCAAAAGGATCTTACTTGATATTTACATGAATTTTAGTTTTTTGGAGCCGAGTTGGGTACAGGATGTAGACTTGATCTTGGCTTGCTTCCTCTATAGAATCATCCAAACAGTATGAGAACTCTGCCACATCTGTGCAGGACAGAAAAACAAACTAAGGTTACATTCATCATTTATAAAACAATATCATCTATAAATTGGTTCAAGCTGAAGTCTAGACAATTCATTTCTAGTTTTGATACGGCGGGGAAGCAATAGAACCTGCGTTGTGTTACTGCTGATATACTGTATGTGTCCCTGTTAGGAAGATCCATATAGATATGTCCTGATGCACTCCTTACCAATTCCAAGGAATAAACCTGTAAGATCAGGCGGGTGCTTGAAATGACCACGGGTGGCACCGTGAATGTCACATAGAGTCCAGAAACGTCACCAGCACACCATTTAAACGTGAAAAAAATCCATTTCATGACACATACTTGTCATTCAAAATACAAACGTTTTTGGGCCTCACAGGGTCCCCTTCATCATTTTGAATATTGCATTGATCAGTACAGCAGGATGTCACAATAGGGCTTTGCAGACTGCTCGAGCCGGCACTTCTGCTGTCACCTCCCCGTCCGTCCTGTGCACGTGCAAATCGGACAGGGTATTCAATGATCAGCAGCCCTACGATTGTAACCATACACAGGAAGCGCCCTGCGTTCCACGCGGCGGAAATGCCGGTGAATGGGGCGGAGCTAGTTGTCTCCTACTCAGCGTCCTGTTACCACAACCACAGGCTGTGGTGAGAGCAGCTAACGGCTGGGATAAGGGCCTGGTATGGATTTTAAAAGGAGATATAAATGTTCTTGCTGGCTACCAGATTTGATTAGACACACACAGACACACACACACACAGACACACACACACAGACACACACACACACTGTTCTTTGCTGATACCTGCCTTCATTAACGGAGAGCTGTACATTGCCTGTTCTTCCTGAAATCCACGATGAGGAACCAGATGACTGAAGCCAGGATTTCAATGCAGACCTTATATTTTCTGTTGCGTTTTTTTCCTTTAAATACAAGAGAAGAGCAGATTATTTTGATTAAAAGTATATAACGGCGATGTTTGTCTGCACAAAATAATAAAAAGGACAAAAGTACAGTGAAGACAATTAAAGTAGGATTAAACTCTCAAGCAGAGGCATAACTAGTGACATCAGGGCCCTGATACAAGAATCCATGAAGGCCCCCCCCTCAAGAAAAAGATTAGATACTGTAAAAAAAAACAAAAAACATTTTAGACAAAAAAAAATTCAAACCAAACCCCCTCCTCTTCCATGTGCCCAGCTTCCCCCCTTCTTGTCCCCAGCTTTCAGCTCCCTGACCCCACACTCTCCTCTCACATGTCCCCTTCATAATCTCAGCTCCCTATAACTCCCTCTATGTGTCAGCAGCACACCTCTTTCTTTTATTCAGCCCAAAAGTTGCCCAAAATAGATCCTCTCAGTGTACCCCCAGCTTTAGTTTCCATGTGATGTGTCTTGTACAGATGTAACATGTAGCACTCACCAGAGGTTGCTTTGGACGCAGGTTAAGTGATGAGGGGACCTTGGGCTGTGACTCCAGAGATTGTATTCTCACAGCTGATGATGTATTAATATTCAGATTCTTCCTAATTCTCTCTGGCACCTAAAAACAAGAAAACCAATCACATGCTGACAAATATAATGTTCCTATGCCTCCTCGTCATGCAGCATTCTGCTGCTGACAGCACGTTGCACCCTGAGGAGCATTTTACATACATTTTAGGAAAACCTGCGTTATCATTCATCCTTATAGAAGGGGCTGGGAGCAGCACCAAAAATGCAAGCAAGATTTTTTTTTTACATCCTGCAACCAGAGAGGTGTGAAATCACCCTCATATGTAAACCCCAAAACAATTAGGTTCTATGTAGTAGCTTACTGGCTCTTAGATGTGGTAGCTGCATTCGTTTTCAGGTCCATGCTTTGGTTTTCCTTTATTTGCGCCCAGTGATCTGTTCAGTAATACACTTCCTGTCACTCCTAAATCACTGTACTCTATCTATGAAGCAGCAGCATTGTCAACCTATGGAACCGGAAGTGTGTCAGGACTACGGAACACCTTACCTTCGCCACAGCATAAAGGGGTGGTATAAACAATGCCATCAAATAACCGACGGCAGAGCGCACATAAAGCTATCAGCTCACTAGATTTGTGGCAGGATCAGCAGGTATTTTTTGCACAGATATAACAAAACACTTCTAATACCAAATTTAAGCAGTCTAGCAGCCCAACTGGACGGAGGATCGGGTGAGTATATCGGCTTGATTTGAATCACTTAGACAAAAAGAGCACAAATGAAGTTCATCATTAAAGAATCCAGGGCCTGTTTTAGCTTACCAGACTCTGATTTTGAACAACTGGGATCATGCTTTACAATGGTTTCTATTGTCCCGCTCATGATATGGGCATTTGTCACCCCGGCAGATTTGGCAAAACCTACTGTAGTCTAGGTCAGTGGTACTCAAGCTGTGTAACCTCAGGACCCACATTTGTCCTTGGTCATTAAGTTGCGACCCAAGTCTGCAATGTCTGCACTGCAATGGAACGCATGACATTGAGGTACCGCACGTTCCAATGCAGGATGCAGGCATACGAACTGTGGGTGGAAGGTGCGTTTGGGGCACCATTCAAATGAATGGCAACGTAACACACCTCCCACTCCAGAATGCACGGTAGGTGTGATTGTGCTGTACGTGGTATTATGCGATGAATGCACTGTACTAGTGTGCACGGGCCTCAAAAACACTGACATACATATACAACCACAGATACAATCTCACAGACAACCACAGACACATTCTCACACACTCCAAAACATTTTTTCTTTTTTTTTAAGATCCACCCAGACTCCCTAACTTATGAGAACTGGAGTGGATCCTCAGCCTGGGGTCCAGTGTGGGCTGCTGTGCTGTGACAGAGCTCCATCCATATGTGCATTGCTTGTACAGCTCCCTTGTGCACCGTGTAGAGGTGCCAGTAGACAGAATCTGATGTCACTCTGGTCCAGGCACCTCTATAGGACATGTGAGGGAGCTGTAAGCAATGCACGGTTGGATGGAGCTCCCTCGCAGCCATAGCCCCATTCCATCCCACATCAAGCTGACATTCGATGCCGGGCAGCATATTATGAATGGCTGCTTGGCACGAGAACTGACATTGCAGTGCTAGGGGGAGGCTGAGGAGCTTCTCACTTAGAAAAGTGGAAGGCATGCGGCGACCCACTGAACACAGGCTCGCGACCCACTTTTGGGTCACGACCCACCAGTTGAGAACCAAGGGTCTAGGTCATATGTAACTAAAGAAGTGTGCATGGGCAAAATTTGTGAGTATATGGCATGTTTTAAAGCAAGAAACCCCTTTCTATAAAAACTGAATAAAGCGATATTACCAAAATGATTCTGTAAGTAAACAAGTTCACTGACCCACACTTTTGCTGTATGCGTATTCCCATTTCTGGTATCATACTCGATGACATCTTTGATATCTTCAAGGCCATGCCAAACAATCTTCACCACTTCCTCCGGCCACCTGGCCGGTACTTCCTCCTGCTCGGTTTTCCCCGCCGATCGCTCCGCATTTGATTTAGGTTGTTTTTTACGCCTCTTTGGTGATGGGACTTCTACCATTCTCCCGTATGATACTACCACATCGGTAGTTACACCCGAGGGCTCTGGGAACCATAAAAAGACCTGAACTGTATTATCATTTGAATGCTGCATGAAAGCCGTGCTGCTTCTTATATTATCAGGGACATGACGAGACACCCGGAAAACTCCATCTAACTCAATCTTTTTCAGCACCGTTCTCTCAAACAAGTTCTCATCAGTGCCACCCGAGTCCAGCAAGGGTTCCCTTCCCAGAGCACGTGAAAAGAGGTTTCCCAGTGCGCCCCATAAAGATGAAACATAAGGCAACCCATCCGGATTCTGGATTACAGCAGCTTCATTTTCTCCATCAGATGCAGAGGAATCCTCATTACTGGTTGACCCGCAAGGTGCAGATTCCTGAGGCATCATTTTGGGTCTTTTAGATGAACCATCAGTTCTTAATTGAGACAAATGTGATGAAAGGTCTTCAGAGTCTCTGGATTTTGGAGACACTATCAGCTCTGTTAGAGGTTCCAGTCGGCCGTAACTTGCGGCCGGTGTTAGTGTTCCTGAAAATAAATATAGTTTAAAATGTTATGATGTGAAATCATTTACTTCAAGTATAGTGAAAGCATATTCCACGTTGGGGCACGGAATTCACTGAGGCATTTACATTCACATCTTCATGTGAAGGAGATTATAGTCCAATGTCCCTACAACACACTTTGTAGTGTTCATTTTTCAGCAAAAAATTGAGGTTAACCTGTCATTTTTTTGGAGGTGGGAGGGGGATATGTACAATTTCCATGACATAGCAGGTACTGAATCCAATTCCTTAGTGCTGCAAGCATAGAGGGTCATTGGGTTGTCCAAAGGGCACAAAGGCAGGAATGCGTGGATTCCACCAATCGCTACACAAATATGTAAAACGGGAAGGGGGTGTACAAGCGAAATAATGTATTTGGAAATTTTAGAATGTTAACCCCGCCCCCCAACTTTGGTCCCTCCCCTTTTTTGTGCTTACTTTGCCTTTGTTTGAATGTTTAGTAGCAGTCAATGGTTCAGCAACCTATCTTTCGAAAATACAGCGCTCACCATTGTATGCTCATACCTTGTATCACTTGCGTTGACTGCCATGGTTTTCCTCTGTTGTGTCTCTACATACTTGTAACCTTTGTTATTCCCATGCACATGTTACATATATTTTAAAACCTCTCAATAAAAATGATTGAACATAAAAAATAGGTTACATTTAATATGCTTTCAGGTCCATCATACAGATTCCCCCAGAGTTGTTTCAGCTTGCTTCAAGCTCCTCCTGAGTTACTTTGATTTGCTTTTGCATTCACACGGACTTGTATGAAACAAAGCAGCTGAGATGCAGACAAAGGCCCAGGTACATGAACTAGTCATCGGCCGATGAACACCTGGTTTAAAGGGAATAACCAAACCTTTTTGTTTTAGTTCTCTTTTGGGTCTCAGGAGCTTTCAATCCACTCCGCTGCCTGACTGACAGCTGGCTCTGCCTCTCTAGAGCCAGAACCAGCTCCTCCCTTGTCTGTCCCTCCAATGAGTGCTGGAGGAACAGGGAGAAGGGAAGGGGTAATTCCTGCAGGGAGTGTTGACTGACAGTAACCCCCCTCTGCAGGGAGAAGCCATGAGCTGAGCAATCGGTTGTTTGTGATTGCTCAGTTCTCGAGCTATAGATCCGACATGTGACAGCTGAAGTGTTACATGCCGGCTCAAACTATTGGAAAGAGTACATTTTACACTCAATAGTTCTACTTTAACTCCGAGGTGTGGTTTTAAAAATCATTCTAATAAGATCAACTTACCTATTTGGATGTAAACACAGGTGTAAAGGTCAACCCACACTGGGAATACGGCCTTGGGATAAACTATACGGATCTGGTCCAGAAGGCTTGTTTCCAGGGCAGATGCATGCAGTTCCTAGTGAAAACATAAGAAAAAAAAATATTACAGGTGAACCCATTATATGGAACGCTTGTCCATCATAGATTTCTATTACAGGTGAACCCATTATATGGAACGCTTGTCCATCATAGATTTCTATTACAGGTGAACCCATTATATGGAACGCTTGTCCATCATAGATTTCTATTACAGGTGAACCCATTATATGGAACGCTTGTCCATCGTAGATTTCTATTACAGGTGTGGAACCCATTATGTGGAATGCTTGTCCATCATAGATTTCTATTACAGGTGTGGAACCCATTATGTGGAATGCTTGTCCATCATAGATTTCTATTACAGGTGTGGAACCCATTATGTGGAATACATGTACACTATAGACGTATAGATAATATTCATTTTAATGGAAGCCACTGCAGCAGCATCATATACTTGAAAACCTAACCTTCATTCATCAACCGCATTTACTAAGGGGAGCAGAAGAAGTCCATATCGTGACCTTACGGAGGGCTGAGAATTCTCTCCTTGCCCTATGAGACAGTGCTGGGTGCCTAAATAGCCAATCACCAGAGCTATCACGTGGGAGGAAATCACATGCTTTCCTACACCCTGAAGAACTAGCTATTTATTTTTCTTTACAATGGCTGACATGTACAGACCTACAAAGCACATAGACCTATCATATCTCAGTCCCTGTCCTCATAGCAAAATAAAGTCTAATGTCCCTACTGCAGACAAACATCCACAAATGTTTTAGTGCCAGTGGCAGCTGATGGACCCAAATGGGAGAAAACCGGAGCAAACTTACAAATCCATGCAAACACCGTACGGCCCCTTTTATACTGGTACCTGTGATCTGAGGAGACCTCATCGCTTTTTCTGTGCATGGGCTTCCCTCCCCCATTAAAGGAGAACTATGGGGTCAGTGTTTTTCCCCATAGTTCTCCTTAGGGTAACGGGAGGACACAAACTAGCGTCCTCCCGTTACACACCGGTGACAGTCTCATTGTCACAGGTCAGCTAGAACTATGAGGTGAGTGGAAATCACTCATCTCATAGTTCTCCTTTAAGAAGGGAAAAAGCGTATTTGACCTAGCTCTGTGGGTCTACCTCCCCAGGTGACCACTCACTTGTTGTCATCACTCACTGGGTGGAGGTGAAGGTCTGCCTGCATTGTGTGATTATCCTTACCTGAGAGTTATATGCAGATTGGCTGCGAATCATCTGAGGAATTTTTTTTGCACAATCATCATTGTTTGCTTTTGTTTTTTCCTTGGGACTTTTTATTGTCTATATTGCTTTTTTGTCTGTATGTAGATATTTTCTATGCCTCATTTGTTTGAAGGCTCATATATGTTACTCATTTATATATATGTTTAAATTTATTAGATATGTATGATTATTAGCTCGGCACAACATTGTTTTTTAACAATGACATCCATTGCGATCAGGAGGGGATCCATGCATGAAGGCGCCCGTCTGAAAGGGGGCTAACAGCACATGAACCCCAAGCTGAAGAATATGGTAGTCTCATTTTTAGGGCTGCGGAAATTAAAGATTAATTTCTCGATTAATCGTTAAACTTTTTGATCGATTAAAATTATTTTGATCGCTAATGAAAACACTCACCTCTCCGCTGGCTTCCGGGAGTCCAGTCGGCGATCCGGTGACGTCACGGGCATCGACGTCACCGGACTCCTCCCTCTTCCCCGAGTGGCTCCGTCGGCTAACGGAGGGAAGGGGGGGAGGAGTCCGGTGATGTCGATGTCCGTGACGGCTAACGAAGGGAAGGGGAGGAGTCCGGTGACGTCGATGTCTGTGACGTCACTGGACTCCTCCCCCCTTCGTTAGCCGACGGAGCCACTTGGGCTGGTGAGTTTGCCCAATAAACTTTCTGCACGAGCGCCAGCCAAGGCATTGGCCTATACACATACAGCACAGCAATGAAGTAATAAAATGAACTAGGATCACACTAATCCAGCGAATCCTAGTTCATTTTATTACTTCATTGCTGTGCTGTATGTGTATAGGCCAATGTAGTTGGATTTGTATGTGTGTTATCATTAATCGAAAATTTGTTTTGATTAATCGAACACGAACATTTTAATCATTACCAGCCCTACTCATTTTAAAACAAAGCAGCTAAGGAGATGGAAGAAAACATTTGAACAAGAGCAGGCAGCTCCCCCTGGTGGCTAGATAGGACGCCACACAATATTTATATGCAACATTTGATATTTACTTGAAAAAAAAGAAAAAACAAATGTAAAATGTTTTTTTTTTTCTGGCCATAGTAAAGCTGAACTCCAGTCAGGTATAAAAATGTACAGTATGCAGCCATGTAACCATTAATACATCATGAAATGTATTTTGTAAGTGTAAGGACCTGAATGTGACCTCATATCAGCCTCTTGCAGTCCCTGTACAGCAGAGCTGGAATGTGAGAGGAAGAAGCAAATCACTTCCTGTGCCGACAATGAGCATGCTGATAAGAGGAGAAAGCAGAGTGGCATAAGCTTATCATCGTGCTGCTTCTCCTTTCATTGTCCAGTCACAGACTGGGGCTAAGCCAGGATGACCTGGGCTCAGAGGAAGTGGGTTAAATGATGCCGAACATCAGACCGAGGACATCTAGCAGCAGAAAAAATTTACTGCAGGGGAAATCTCTGGACTGAAGCTGAATATTGAAGCAAAAGCTGTAATTATATCTTTTATTGGGCTATTTATTTTTGTCTGGAGTTATTTAAAAATAAAATAAAAATAAAAGGAAATACTGTATTTTTCCGTGTACAAGATGCTACTTTTTCATTAAAATGTTTACCTAAACATAGAGGGGCGTCTTAAACGGCCGAGAGGAGAACCGCGGTTGCGACACTCCCGAAAGTGTCGATACCACTGCAGTGCTAACTAGCCTCACGACGAGTGAAACTTCGGATTGTAGAGACAAGATAAGTTTTCCTCCAATCATAAATCTTTTGTACCTGACGTCAGCTGTTGCTGGGCAGAGTGGCTCTGTAATCCGCTCTCCCCAGCAACAGCTGACGTCAGGTACAAAAGATTTATGATTGGAAGAAAACTGTTATCTTGTCTCTGTAATCCGATCATAAATCTTTTGTACTTGACGTGAGCTGTTGCTGGGCAGAGCGTGTAGCCAGTGCCCAGAGCTGTAATGTCGGAGCATAACGTGATTGACTCAGAGGTAAGTGTAAATGCATTATATAATTTAAAATATTGATTTCTTAATTTTGGGTAAGAAAAGTTGGGGGCGTCTTATACATGGGGGCGTCTTATAGACGGAAAAATACGGTATATACATTGTCTGTAGACAGGGCCCGTTCTAGACTTTTTTGCACCCTAGGCAAGACCAGCTACTTGCACTCCCCCTCCATTTGCGCAACACCCAATCCCCCCCTCCTGCGGAGCACCATTTTCCTGCGGGTTCACTTCTGCAGGCGACAGGTGGATGTAATTTAATTTGAAATAGCCAATAGCCGACTGGCTATTGAAACCCCACCCACTGAGCAGAGGAGCCAACCTGAGAAAGAGAGCTGTCTCTCAGTTACGCTCCTCTGCTCAGTGGGCAGGTGCAATAGCCAGCCTGGTATTGGCTTTTGCAATTTGAAATAGACGGGGGGTGAATGATCAAGGCTGCGCCCTAGGTAGCAGGGCGCACTAGGCAGCAGTGTGCCCTAGGCGGCTGCCTGGTTTGCCTGGTGGCAGCACCGGCCCTGCCTGTAGAATAGCTGAATGTAAAGCCAATGGACCAAACGATTTATTGTGCATTACCAGTATTTCCCAGTCATCGGCAGTCATGGGTTCCACTGTGACTTCTTTACACGATGTGACGTTACAACATTGCTTGAGGAACACCTATAGATAAAGAAAAACATCATATACAATTCTTAGAACTGATGGTAAAGGGAACACATGACAACAGTCTTATATGCTTGAATTCAAAATATATTTCACAACCAAATCAATGGTATTAGGAAAGTGGATGGAGACAAGAACTACAGGTCCTGCTTGGTTTTCTTGCTGCTGTCCTCTCTGTTAAGAGAGATTTGCCCTCATGCACGGTGCCAGACGTTTCATCAAATAGGACAAAATCCAAAAATCCAGCACATACCTTTTTTGGGTGTCTTCGGTCTGGTCCAGCGATGTCACATGTCCTCTTCACCTCTTCTTCTTCTGGCGGTGGGGGAATCCTAAATGTTGCAGCACCACCACTTCATTGTAATGTCTTCTCCTCTGACAGCGGATGGTTCTGAAGGCCCAGGCAGGCCCAGGCATGCATAATGATGCGCCCTCGCAGGGCTGTGTACATGACTGCTTGGACTTGCAGAACCTGCGTTGTATGATGTCGGGCTTCATTCGACCTAAAAGGGCACTGGCATTCGCTTAAACAGTATTTTTGCTTGCACATGATTGGATGACAAAAGTCAGCAAAGCTTCACCTCGTTCACTAAGCTAAGGGGAAATTCCCCGGCACAGTGAACAGCGATTCAGCCGTTGGTCTCGTGTTGACTGATCACCTTTTTTTTTGTGGCCTCAAAAGTCTCGGGACTGGATTATATGTTGACTGGCCATCATCACAGTGAGATGACCACAACTCCTAATCACGTTTCTCTTATTGTGGAAGAACCTACAAGAGCTGGTCAGAGAGGGTGGACATGCTAGAAGAGATGGTCAGAGAGGGTGGACATGCTAGAAGAGATGGTCAGAGAGGGTGGACATGCTAGAAGAGATGGTCAGAGAGGGTGGACATGCTAGAAGAGATGGTCAGAGAGTGTGGACATGCTACAAGGGATAGCCAGAGAGTGTGACATGCTACAAGAGATGGTCAGACAGTGTGGCGATGCTACAAGAGATGTTTAGAGGAGTGGTAATATATTACAAGAGATAGCCAGAGAGTGTGACATGCTAAAAGAAATCGCCAGAGAGTGTGGACAAAGCGCATGTCCAGCCATACATTTCTCCTCACTTCCTGTTCTGCTGACAAAAGGTTTCCCCAGACCTGCACAGTGCTTTTGCCATGTTGCTGACCCCCTGACACGGTCACTTTAAGGGCCCATTCACGCTGTTGCATTGCGGTAACATGTACGCTAACGCAATGCATGTTAAATATGTCTGGGTGTTGCTTTGCTTTTCATTGTCAACGGCACTTGCTAAAGGAACACATATGCGCTACAACGCACGTTTGTGCACTCCAATGCATTGCGGTGCACTATGTTGCAAAAAATGTGTTGCCTGCTTTTGTATCCCTTTCATTTCAATGGGCTGCTTTATTGTGAAGCATGTTAACGCACGGAAAATGTGAGTTAATGCAATACACCAGGATGCCAGTTACCTTAAGACAGCCTATTATTTTTTTCAAAGTAGTAAAACAAAACACAGGTAACTGGACCTGCACCCCTGGCACCCAGCACTGCACCCCCCCACCTGAGCTTGCACTGCCAGCACACACCCTCTTCTCCCGTCTCCAGCCTCAGGTGGTGAGAATTGTAGGGACTAAACTAATCATTCCTATGGCGGCACATTTAGGCCTCAGAACAATTATAAATGGCTGCAGGCCGAGGTCATTCTGCGCGTGTGCCACACACATGGCTCATTTATGGGTAGATGTAAACATCAATAGTGTTTAACCAGAGACGGCCGTGCCGCTGGGTACACATTCTTTATATGTCAGCAGTGAGCAGCAGCGGATGCTGCACGAAAGTAAACATTGCACAAATGTGGCATGCGTACCGAAAACTTTAGGCCTCATGGACACGGGTGCAAGAGGCCATAGAATGTAAATAGCATTTCAGCGCCTGAGATCCAGCCGCCATCAGTAGTGAATTGGTATAGTCCATTTACGCCACTACTTGTGTAAACCCGCGTATGCGTTTGAGCGTCTGCCCAGGGGCGTGAAGCTTTCCGCATGTACAGGTTTGCACCGTAACCCGCATACAACTGCCTACTCCCATTCACTGCTATGGCCGGCTGTAGATCACAGCTGTGTATCCCTGGCACGCAAGTACGTCCGCAATTTGCGTACTACGGTCTCATGCGCCCGCAATTTGTGTGCTATGGTCTCATGCGCCCACAATTCGCATACTATGCTCTCATGCGCGTGCAATTTGCGTACTATGCTCTCATGCGCCTGCAATTTGCGTACTAGGCTCTCATGCGCCTGCAATTTGCGTACTATGTTTTTATGCGCCCATGTCCATGAGGCATTACACTGTAAAAACATGACCGGACGCAGGACCAAGAAGGGCGATTTTTCCATTTTTAGTTTACGTAGCTGAACGCTGCAGACCATTGTGCATGGGCCCATAACATACAATACCACTGCGTTCCGATCTGTAGTTGATGGATCAAAACGCAGACTACTGTACGCCCGTGTGCACGCACCCTTATCACATGTTGCAAACATGCAAAGGTGTGTTTGCAGCCACACAAACATGTATGTTTTTATTTCAGTGTGTTGTCTGTGGAATGTTTTTATATGACAATTTCCCATCACGCTCATTTTGTTTTACAGACTTTATTACATAGGAGATCATTCCTCCCACACATTCAGCCCATTGTGTGCCCCTCCCCCCAGTGTTCCCTCACACACACCGCCGATGACAGCCAGGCGTCTGACAGACTTGGAAAGTCGCCCTGTGATTGGACAGCGCAGCCAGGACTCCTCCAATCCGCTGCGAGCAGGGAACCTTCCCGCCAAACTATAAACCGCGCGCTGTGCCGCGGGAGATTCTCATTCACTTCAGTCAGCGCTGAAAGACTAACACTCCCCGCCGGTACCGAGCAGCCGGGGGACGCCGAAGCCACAGCAACCGAGCACTTCCGTTACCGATTGCTTCAGTCCGGCGAGAGCTCGCCTCCCTTCAGCCATCATGTGGATCCAGGTGCGCACCATGGACGGCCGGCAGACCGAGCGGCTCGACAACCTTTCCAAGCTGACCAAGGTTGAGGAGCTGCGGCAGCGGATCCAGGAGGTGTTCGGGGTGGAGCTGGAGCGGCAGCGGCTCTTCTACCGGGGTAAGCAGATGGAGGACGGCCACACGCTGTTCGACTACAGTGTCAACCTGAATGACATCGTGCAGCTGATGGTGCGGCAGGTCCCGGTGTGTGTGTCCCCGGTCACCGAGGAGAAGGACGAAGTACCGGAGGAGCAAGAGGAGGAGGCCAAGATGACCGAGATAGAGCCGGAGGAAGAGCAGGAGCTCCCCTCCACCGAGCTCGCCCTGTACAAGGCCGACCAGCTGGTGGACGCCCGGGACCTGAACATGGGAGCCTGGTTCGAGGCCCAGGTGGTGAAGGTGACCCGGAAACCCGCTTCTGAGGACTTCCTCTACCACATCCGGTATGAGGACTACCCTGAGGAAGGGGTGGTGCAGCTGACTGAGAAGGATGTAAGACCCCGGGCCAGGACCACCCTAAACTGGGACCAGCTGGCGGTGGGACAAGTGGTCATGGTCAACTACAACCCGGATGAGCCCGGTGCGAGGGGCTACTGGTATGACGGAGAGATTGTCCGTAAGTCTCCGAAAAAGGAAGTCTACGCCAACATCTCTCTGGGGGGCGCCAAGGATGCCATAGACTGCAAAATTATATTTGCGGATGAGATTTTTAAGATTGAAGAGCCCCGGGCTACGCCGCCGGTGTCAGAGTCCCCCCAGAACAAGCAAGGCGGTCCCCAGTGCCGGTACTGCAGGGACGACCCCAAAACGAAGTGTCGCATGTGCGCCTGTCACGTGTGCGGTGGTAAACAGGACCCTGCCAAGCAGCTGTTGTGTGATGAGTGCGACATGGCTTTCCACATGTACTGCCTGCATCCCCCGCTGACAGCCCTGCCGCTAGACGACGACTGGTACTGCCCCGATTGCAGGAACGACACCAGCGAGGTGGTGCTGGCGGGGGAGAAGCTGAAGGAGAGCAAAAGGAAAGCCAGGATGGCGTCCGCTAGCTCATCGTCTCAAAGGGACTGGGGCAAAGGCATGGCATGCGTGGGTCGTTCCAGGCAGTGCACGATTGTCCAGTCCAATCACTATGGCCCAATCCCTGGAGTACCGGTCGGCACCATGTGGAAGTTCCGAGTTCAGGTTAGCGAGTCTGGCGTGCACAGGCCGCACGTGGCTGGTATTCATGGGAGAAGCAATGACGGCTCCTATTCGCTGGTGTTGGCAGGAGGTTACGAAGATGACGCTGATGACGGCCATGAGTTTACTTACACCGGCAGTGGAGGCCGTGACCTCTCCGGTAACAAACGCACCGCTGAGCAGTCATGTGACCAGAAACTTACCAACATGAACAGGGCTCTAGCCATGAACTGCAACGCACGCATCAACGACAAGGAGGGGGCTGAAGCCAAGGAGTGGCAGGCGGGTAAGCCTGTGCGTGTTGTGCGCAACGCGAAAGGGAGAAAGCACAGCAGCTACGCTCCAGAAGATGGCAACAGGTATGACGGCATTTACAAAGTGGTCAAGTACTGGCCCGAAAAAGGAAAATCTGGGTTCCTCGTGTGGCGGTATCTGCTCAGGAGAGACGACAAGGAACCTGCCCCATGGACCAAGGAGGGCAAGGAGCAGATAAAGAGACTAGGCCTCACCATGCAGTATCCTGAGGGTTACCTAGAATCTGTTGCCAACAAAGAAAAAGAAAATATTGGTGATGATGACGACGATGAAGATGACGATTTGGAGCCTCCCACCAAAGGCAAGCGGAAGAGGAAGTTGAAGGCTGATAGTGATGAGGAGGAGGAGAATGATGAGGATTCTGAGGCAACGTCCAAGAAAACCAAAGTGGAAAAGTACAAGCTCACTTCAGAACAAAAAGCCCTGATTGAAAAAGATGAGTCAAATGCCAAACTATGGAATGAAGTGATGACATTTCTTAAAGATGGTCCAAAATTTATCAACAAGGTGGAAGAGACCTTCCTGTGCATCTGCTGCCAAGAAGTGGTGTACGAGCCGGTCACCACCGAGTGCCTGCACAACATCTGCAAGACCTGCCTGGATCGTTCCTTTAAAGCCTCTGTGTACTGCTGTCCTGCTTGTAGACACGACCTCGGGAAAAACTACAATATTCAAGTGAACAAGCCATTGCAAGCTCTTCTCCTACAGCTATTCCCTGGTTATGAGCGAGGCCGGTAATTCAAGTGAGATCCCTTAGGTTTGTTCTTTTCATTGTTTAGCAAAATCTGTGGTTTGCTCCAATAGCACCTTCTTATCTTTGTCACATTTCGTTTTAACCAGTTGACATCCGCGGTGTTAAACCCCCTTCCCATCCAGGCCATTTTTCAGTATTCAGCGCTGCGGTACTTTGACATTTATTCCGTCATGCAGCGCTGTACTGAAATGAATTTTATACCCTTTTTTGGGGACAGATAGAGCTTTCTTTTGGTGGTATTTATTCACCACTGGGGGTTTTATTTTTTTACTATATTAAAGGAAAAATTACCGAAATTTTTTAAAAAAAAAAAGTTTCCCCTATATTAAATGATAAAACATTTATTATTACCCAATTTTTTGGTAAAATATAAAAGACGGGGTCACGTCGGGTAAAAAGACACCAAACATGTCAAGCCTTAAAATTGCGTGCGCGCGTGAAACCTCAAAAAACGATAATACCCAAAATTGGCCATAGGCGACACTTTAAAAGCTGTTACCGCTCATCAGTTTAGTGTTATCAGTGATTGATGGCCCTAAAATGATTTCTCTCACTGCGACCTTCGCGGCGATATGTAGCGTGTAGCGCAATTGTAATTTTTGCGCGCTGGGGCACCGGACGCGTATTTACGTTTATAGGCGCGTAAACGTGGGGGTGGGGGAGTTAAACATTTTGGGGGGTTTTTTCCCCCCTTTTTTTATGTGATTTTATTTTACTTTTTTATGTTACTTTTATTTATATTTTTTTGCACTTATTGTTATTGCTATTATATGGGGGGATAACAACCCCCTATATAATAGCAAAGGCACACTGACAGGTCCTCTTTATGGACGCGAGCAGAAAAAAATTGCCGTCTGGAGACGGAAACCCGCCAATGCTGCAGTGCCGTCCGTCCGTTTTTTTTACTGCGGACGGCAAGAGGTTAAAGGTATTTTTTTAAATTTATACCTGTCCTTTAAGTGACACTTAACTCGGGGAGTTAAATCTTAATGTATTCAAGTACTTTAACTATTAACATAAATGCCTCTTACCGCTCCAAGCTCGCTCCTGTGATGGACTACAATCTCAATACAAATTAGGAAACTAAACATGAGATTATAGTCCATCCCGGGAGTGAGCTTGGAGCGGTGACTACTTTACAACATACACAGGGACCATGGGGAACAAAAGTAGCCCCCCTCCAGAAGGAAGGACAGTGTCAGCACCAATTCAGAGATGATTGGAGGATCTACAGCCGAGTGATAAACAAATAAGAGGCATTTTTGTTGGTTAAGGTGAATGCATTTTTAAGCTTAACTCCTGAGTTTAGTGTCACTTTATGGCATATGGCTGTCTAAAGTAGTATTACCTTTTTGCTTTAGCATGATTTTCTTGAACTAAAAAAAAAAAACCTTGAAAGGTGGCTAGTAAATTTCCTGCTTCAAATAACTGTAGTAATTGGCTCCTGCATGTGCTGGGCACTTGGGCTATGTGCTGCTGCTAGACAGAAACCTCACAAAACTGTATTGCCATTATAGCTGCCTTAAATAAAATCAGTATGCCTCTTGGAAATGGAGATGTTTTGCCTGTCTGTTTTGGACACTTTTGGGGAGTAGAACTAGTGCAGTTATCCTTATTGTTTCATGCAAGACCTCCATTTTACACACTGCATTTGCTTTTCAAACACATGCGCTCGAATAGCAAATGCACCTGTATAGGGTCAAAGCCGGTCAAATGCATCCTTTAAAATGCTACATGTACTGCACAATTAAAGTCTATGGGAGTTTGCGGACCTACATTTGACATGTGTTCCAAACAGAACACCCATAAACATTCATAAGCCCCCAGGCCTATTTCATACAGGCTTCAGCACATTGTTCTTCAGACTGGTGCATGAAAGTTGAAATCTGTGATCCATGTTGCAGTGTTTTTAGTGGCTGATAATTTCCTATATTTACTGTAAAATGTTTTTTTCCCCCCAGGAATAAAGACTGTCACACAAGGCACCTGATACCATATAGCTGCTGTCACGTTACGATTGGTATCCAGATTTGTACCATCAAGACAGACCTCCGGGATTATGCTTTAAAGGTGCAGCAGAAGGCCGTGTCTTTGCCTGGAAACCATAATCATCCCGTTATTTATACTTCTGTGCTTAACTGAAAATGTTTCAAAAGTGGGCTTTTTTTTTTTTTTTACTAGCCTTTAGCTAGGATATATGGAACATTGTTTTTGGGTGTATATGGCGCTACGTTTCTAATGTAAACTCCATGTGGCAAAAAAAGAAAAAAAAAAACTGTCCATGCGAGCATGTGGTGTGTAGTAGTACTATAGTGGCATTTGTTGTTTCAGCAACTGGAGACCTCCCAGAAACCACCCCAGCCACATGTATTACTGTAAATTCTGTCAGAGCCGTTATCCAGTTACTGCTTTTTCCCTTTTGTAGGAGTTTTGTCCTAAATTTGTATGCCAATTTCCAGCTACTATTTCCATCCCTGGTCCCTGAAATGAAGACGTCTGTCCTTGAAATGCTTTTTTTCCTCCTAAATCTAGGGCTTGTGCTTGCTTTGCAGAACCAGGCTGCAGACACTACAGCTCTATGCCAGATAAATACCTTCCTGTTCTGAAGGTAAAAAAACCTTATCCATTTACCGTTGGCTTTGCTTAAGCAATGAAGATTGTTCATGTTAGTAGTTTGTGCTGCCCAGCAACATGCGTGTCATGTTTGATCTCTATTCGTTCGGTGGAATAGTGCCATTAATGGAGTCCAAATAAAACTTATTGTGCATAATAAGTGAAGTTTAAATCAGATTTTTGGCTAGGAATGTCCCCAAATACACAACTCTCCTGTCTCCATGCTAAGATGAATTTGTTTTTCACCTTAACCTCCCTGGTGGTATGATTTATCTCAGTATTTATTTATTTTTTACTTTTGAATTTCTCGCCGGTTACGCCCCCCTGCAAACGCGCCACACTCGGGATTACCGCCAGGAAGGTTAAAAAGGTTACATGTCACAAACGTGGACAATTCAGATCAAAGCCAGAAACAGGGTTCCTATGAGGCCACGCACCTTCTCCCACAGCGTTGCTCCCTTGCTGGACGAATTGGCAAGATGTTGCTTTGTCATTCTTCCTCGCTGGAGCGCAAGAATCTGCAGCGTTTCAGCCAGTAAGAAAGTAACGCTGTAGGAGCAGGTCCGTTTTCTGTGAGCGATCCTATCATATTGAGTGACCAATAGTGAGGGTATTTGTGAAATAGCTTAAACTCCTTATTGCCAGTCGTATGCATATATGTAGCGGCACGGTGGTGGGCTTTATGTAGCAGGCACATTAAAGGCCGTGACACACTGCACGCAAAGCAGCGCGGAGCGGGGGCGCGCTGCCTTTGTGAGCAGTGTGTCATGTAATTTTCTGCTCGGCAGCTCAGCTTGCGAGAGCTCGCGGAGCTGAGCGTGCCGAGATGAACAATTTCAACCAATCGGCTCGCGCGTATAAACCAGCGCAATGCGACAGCTGGCAGGTTGTTACGGACGAGCCGATTGGCTGAAGGTGCTGTCAATCATCTGACTGCACTCAGCTAACACACTGCACGCAAAGCTCCGTGCCGGATAGCTTTGCTTCGCTCCTGCACGGCTTCGCGTGCAGTGTGTCACGGCCTTTATGCGCACAGCCGGCTTTTCTGTTGGGTAGCACTCTCAATTGTGGGCCCCCAGCACTATCACAAACAGTTCCTGGTCACTGTTTACAGTTGGTAGGATGGGCTCCTGCTCATATGACTGTGCCAGCCAATCACATGATTGAGAAGCCCAGGTCACGCTACCAATGTTTAGATATCCTTAAACCGGACCTTTACCCATATCTTTAAAATAACAAGAAATACACCTTTAGAAAAGTTTAGTAATTACAATCACATACTTCTAGATAACTGCAGGCTTTGTATTCTTTGCAGACCTTATTTGTCTTCTGACAGTGGCCATGTTTACTAAGGGCAGATTACTAGCTCTCCTATTACTTCCTGGCACATGTGACCATGCACATCATCTCAGGGGAGGAAGATGCCTTTCCCTGAGATCTCATGAGATTTCAGATGAGATTTCCCAGCAATGCTCTGCTGATGACAAGGTAATCCCAGTGTGCATTGCGTTGGCAAACTGAAGTCATTTTGCCCTTTCAAAGCGAAGTGAATGCTCTGCAAGTGTCAGTATTTCACAATCACAGCATTTTACAGCTGACATGTCTGTTATTATTAATGATCATACGTAGAGGGACGCATGGGTAGGATTTGATTGAGTGTAAAAGGTCCACTTTAAAGGGCCTATTCACATTATTGAGTCGTGGGAATGTGCACGTTCAACATACCTTGCAGAAGCATGTGTTCTGCACTAATGTATGTTGCGGTGCACTGAAAGAAAAAAAAATGTAGCACCAATTTCTAGGCTATTGAAGTTCATTATGAGCCTATTCATTGGAATGGGCCGTGTAACGTGGTGCACGCAACTGAAATGCACCTTAACAGTTAGGTGTGAGCCTAGGCTAAAGGGCCAGCTCCTGGCGGTGGGAAGGGACCAAGAATATGATAGGGATGAAATAACCTTTAGGATTCATTCACACGAGAAACGCCCGGAACGTACAGCTCTGTGCTGCATGTACGGCCGGCTCGGGCAGCTCCCAGGAAGGAGAGGTGCTGCGTGTGATTAGTACGCAGCCCCTGTCCTTCTCTATGGGAGTATGCGGCTGTACGCCGCCCTGCACTTCCGTGCGGGTGTCTGTACTCGTACGCTGACGGGATGGATCCTGTCTGAGCCGGGACACACGTACCTGTACGGACCTGCACTTGGGATGAGCATAAGGGGGACTAAGGGGACATACTCCCATAGAGAAGGACAGGGGCTGCGTACTAATCACACGCAGCACCCGTCCTTCCCGATATGGCCGTGCACGGAGCTGTCCGCGCGAGCCTATTTTCCTGTGAATGAGGCCATAATGAAAACAGACAAGATGTAAACCTAATCACTAACATCTCATTATCTGTGAAACATTCTTGCTTATCTGAATGCTGCTCCGACCAAGAAGAATTGCTGGCTGTAAAAAAAAATCCTTCTGGGAGTGATAACAATCTTGTGCCTTCTCCATCGCTCACTAGCTCCTCCCAACAACCTATATGTCAGAATGTGTCCTGTAGTGTCATATGATAGAAGTATGGAGGTTTGAGGTTGTGCACCTTAGTATGGCCCCTTACACTGGTTTACTAGAAGCCTGCACAGCTCAGCAGATCTTCACATCATTCACGGACTACCTTTCTGGAAACACAATCTGACGTGACCACAACAACTTCCATGTTTGCAAAAGGAAGTCACCAGCACACCATTTAGGTGAGATCAACAAAAGTCCATTTATGAATGGAGCCCTGTCATTCCAGTACAAGCGCTTTAGGGACCTCACAGGGTCATTCTGAGCCTGATCTGAGCGGCCCCGAAAGCGCTTGTACTGGAATGACAGGGCTCCATTCATAAATGGACTTTTGTTGATCTCACCTAAATGGTGTGCTGGTGACTTCCTTTTGCAAACTTGTACATCATCACGGCGCCACCCGTGGTAACTGCGAGCACCCCCCTAGGGGATTTCAAGGAACATCCTATACCAGAAAGGAGTGCAGCAAGACACCTATATATCGCTGACAACAGGTTCCATGTTTGATATCTAACATACCTGCTGTCCATCTACAAGTCCAAGCTTCTCTCCCAGCTGTCTGTTCAGCTCAACGGCCCCAGAATTTGTTCTGCTCCGGCTTTCCATCCACCCAAGGTAAACTGGCTGATCACCCCATGATACTTCCACCGCGTGACCCTGTGTAGGAAAATAAGAGGCACTGTGGTCAGCCATGCACATGTAGATAGTGTGATGTCATATATATTACTGGTATTTATATGTTCTGACAATTCATGCAGCACATTCACATCAGTCCCTGCCCTCAAGAAGCTTACAATGTAAGGTCCCTATCTCTCATACATACAGGGACAATTAACCTTCCAGCATGTCTTTGGAGTGTGGGAGGAAATCTGAGTACCCGGAGGAAAACCCACACAAGCACAGGCAGAACATGCAAACTCCATGCGGATAGTGACCTGACCGGGATTTGAACCAGGGACCCCCAGTGCTGCAAGGATCTGACTTTGATATTTGGAGCCTTGGTAAATCCAAAGTGAATGCCCTCCTTACCGTCTTGTATTGTGACTGTCATGTCTTCCTTATATTGTAAAGCGCTGCGCAAACTGTTGGTGCTCTATAAATAATAATCCCTCATTCACGCGAGTAACGGCCGGCACCTACAGCTGCGTGCAAGGCCGTATGGGGCAGGTGCTGCGTGTGATTTGTACGCAGGAGCCTGTCCTCTATGGTAGTACGCGGCCGTACGCCCCCCTATGCTCACCCCAAGTGCATGTCTGTGCGGGTGTCTACTCGTACCCTGACAGGATGGATCATGTCTGCATCGGAACAGGGACACCCGCGCGGACGTGCAGGGCGGGTGAGCGTAGGGCGGCGTACGGCCCGTACTCCCATAGAGGAGGACAGGCTCCTGCGTACAAATCACACGCAGCACCTGTCCTTCCCGGGAGCTGCGGCACGGAGCTGTACCCTCGGTTACGCGTGTGAATGAGTCCTTATCGAAGACCTCTGCAATACCTTTTATCAGGACAAAGCTCCTTCTGACTAAAGTCTATATACAATATGGTGATAAAAGGGCCGCTTGCTTTAACTCCAGACTGATTTTGCACCACATAGGAGGAGGCAGGAGCAGCAATCCCCCCCCCCATGCAGTTATCACACATTAACATCTCTGAGAGGATCTTGCTGTGGGATCAAAGGTCACATTGTATGTGATGTGTTCCAGCTCACGTACAGCATCTCTCCCCTGTACCCGGCTCACACCTCTCCACGGCTGGGTCACATTGTCCGGGACATTTCAGTGTTAACATGTCATTTATGGCAGAGCAATAAAGGATCTAAGAGCTCGTGGTAGAGACAACGCGTCGGGAAAGAAGGAGGACGAAACTCTTGATCTGCATTCTACGTCAACATGTTGAACTCACTGGATCATAATGGAATCCAGGTGATTAGCATCTTCAGGTCATCAATGAGCGTCCCCAAATCGTACAGCGTATACTATGAGAAAACCCTCGGGTGGAGGGGGCGGGGCATCCATGCGCGGCGATGATTTGTTGATCAGAGTTCAACTTTAATGACTAACTCCAGCCAAGACTTCTTATTTGCTTTGGATTGGATCGAGCAGGGAAGGGCGAGCGTCTCCCTCAGGACAGGAAGTGATAGGAAATCTCTAATGGAACACATATAGTAGATTGAGGAAGTGTTTTATCATTGCGCAGGCCTTCCTGTCCCAGTGACAACCGCATCCCCCAATTGTTGTATACGTGTCACAGAGGCAGGAAGTGAGGAGAAAAAAAAATCACTAAAACATACTTTCTGTCAAAGGGTGGCATGCAGGCAAAGGCAGCCAATCAGTGCTGTGCAGAGAGCAGAGCTGTGGGAGGGATGCAGCAGGCCCCACCCACTACCGGAGGGGGGCGGAGACAAGACCAGTCACCCTGCACAAGGAGAGAGAGCAGCAGTGGCCGGTCATTATTACAGGAAGCTCCTGGCTGGATGAATGCAGATATTTGGAAGGACACGGAGCTCTCTATGATCCAAGAAGGAATCCCCAGGAATGGTCAGACGATGTTGGTCCAGAGCAGAGTTGGGCTATGGCGGGTGTACGGAGCACGGCGACTTATTGTGCATGTTCACAATGTATAGCAGGATGTACAGGCTGTGTCAGCTCCGTCACTTCTATGGCTGCCCCATGGGATGACTGGCACCATTGTGTCTATGAGATAAAGGAAGCACAGAGGCTTCATGGGCTTCCATTGGACATCAGTCTGAGATGTTTCTAAGGGTGCCCACACACCTTACGATTATCGTACGATAATCGCGGGAAATCCCGCGAACGTACGATGTTCGTAAGGTGTGTGGAAGCCGTGCGACCTCTACTACTGTAAGGTCGCACGACTTTAAACTTAGGGACATGTTTGAAAACCCGCCGAGCATCGTACGATGTTCGGCGGGTTTGTGGCATGTCCGTACGATAACAGCCGGATGGCCCGTTCGGCATTGCGGTCATCGGAAGCCCGCCCCTCAGGGGGCGTGGCTTGCGATCATCGCAAGTACGATCTGCCTATGCAACATAGGCAGATCGTACGTTTTTTTAAGTACCTTACAACCATCGCAAGACAAAAGTCTTGAGATGGTTGTAAGGTGTGTGCCCAGCCTAAGACCTTCCAGAGTTCATTGATGGGCAGCTGACGTGCTTCTGGCGCCTTTATACTCCCACTGACTTGTATAGGGAGAGAAGCAGTTCTAAAGTAAACAAAAGCCCATTGACAAGAGCCCCAAGTGACCCCTCTACACCCGAGCCCCGAGTGACCCCTCTACACCCGAGCCCCGAGTGACCCCTCTACACCCGAGTGACCCCTCTACACCCGAACCCCAAGTGACCCCTCTACACCCGAGCCCCGAGTGACCCCTCTACATCTGAACATAGAAGAACAGGAGTGATCTCCCCATGGGAAAGATGATACATGGCCTGCCGTGGTGGACATCATGACACCTAGTAGGTTTGGTGTAATGGGGACACCTGAACAGGTTGTCACACAGCTTTTTGTAGGGGGAGAAGGGGATTAGTAGACAAGAGATACATGGGGAGGGGAGGGCCACAGCTGGGGCCGTACAGGTGACATATGGGGTGTTTGGCATGGAATTAAAGCTGAAGTGTAATGGACGCATATCATACAACCCCCACCCCCCACGCTCAACAACAACGTTTCAAATTATTTTGTCTTTAAGAAATACCTCTCATGACATCATCACTGGGTCTGTCTGCTGCCCCCTTGCTCTGTACCATGATCCAGTACACATCACAGCACCCTGCCTAAAGTATTAGAAGAACACATCCCGCAGTCCCTTTAGTCACGTATCCCTGCTGGCCAAGGGGGTGTTGCAAACTTTAGCTGCGCAATCTGCTGATCATTTGCTTGATTACGCAATAAGAGTGTACACAAGCAACTGGTCAGCAGATTGCACAACTTCACTCAGCAGCACCCGGTGGCCAGTAGGGATGCAGGACTAAATGTAGACAGCAGCTGCAGCTTCATATTGTGGAGATGCAATGTTGCAGAGAATTTGGGGTAATTGGTTTCAACACAGGAACTTGCTACAAGTACAGGAAACAAAAGGTAAGACTGGAGCTCAGATTTAAAGGTGGATGTCCATGTGAGACATGTAGGACTCTGAATGACAGATCCAAGTTCTACAATTGGGCCAAGGCGGATGCCACCAGCCTGTGTGGGGTAAGGGGATCAGGTGACCACACAGAATTGTGGCACAGACAGGGTTGTCACTTACCTGCTCCAGGCGCAGATGTGCCCTGAGCTCGGGTGTCAGGCGCAGGAACGTGTCCTTGGCACTGGTGAGGGTCAGGGTGACAGCAGCCCCAGCTAATCCACCTCCCAGCATCCCCCAGATCCTCACCACCTACAGATCACATCATCCTCCTCAGTTCAAGGGACACACAAGACAGGGGAGAGTCCATCCTTCACACTGCTGGGGGGGAATCGCCACTGACACACTCTGTGAATCCACCTGACACACCCATATCGCCTAAAACTCACACCGCCAAATTGAACGTATTTATTTCACATCAAATGTTCACTATATAAAGTACTGGTAGCCAACAATTGTTTTCTTCTGCTGCGTATAAATAATCAACGTCCCCCGGGGTATTATGCATCATGGTATCATCCATCCAATCAAATTCGAAAAGCTGATTTCCGGCTTCCGACTGCGATGTCCAGTTAATGGGCGGCAGACATTTTTCCGGAGACCGTAACCTATGGAGACTCTATGAAAAATGTCTACGCCAAAATGGCTCCTGTGGTGCGGACTCCATGTCACCGTTCTTACTAGAGTTTTGTAAACACGAACCGTGGGCCACAGCTTGGATACACTCCCCGTGAAAGTCGGTTGCCCGTGAGAAAGATGGCGTCTGGGGACCCCCGTATGAATCTAGAGGCGCAGCCTCACCACGAGCAGCGAAGAATCTGTGCCTCGAGGGCCAAGTACCGGGAGGGACGGAAGCCGAGAGCTGTCAAAGTGCGTGATGGTGACTCGTGTGTGTTCACAGGGAAGCAAAATATCAGCTCATTTGTAGGCAAACCTGAAAAAGTTAACCTTGACCGCAGTTCTTCCCCGTGTATAGTAACAGAGTTTAAAATCTAAGTGACCTGGGATTTGTGCTTGGGATTCAATGGAATGCCAATAGAGTACAATGGGTTATAATGATGTAGGTTTGCCACCTTTTCTTCAAGCGAGACCCGAACACCCTAGCGACGCGCTGACATTTTTTGGGGAGAATGAGTCGCGGCTTTTTCATATGTAAATAGCCCCACCCATTCATATGTTAGTATCACAATCTAGACTATTTTCAGTGGGGGGCCAGTAGCCCCTATTCTAATTTTGGTTGCCCCTGTCTGCCTGACATCTTGTGTCCGGGTTTCTGTTGCCATGAAACCCGGACACAGCATTCAATACCCGAACTGTCCGGGTGAATCCTGGACAGATGGCAACCCTATAATGATAGGACTCGGAGTCAGAACCATTGTGACACATCAAATAAATCATTAGAGAACACTCTCTCCAAGCACAGAGGCCAATTCATTCTATCATACACTCCTGTCATTCTATTGTAAAATCTGCCAATGTGCTTGAAGAGTGTCTTCTGAGGACTACAAATCCCAGCAATACATTATACAGCAATGCAGAATAATATAAAGCTACATACTCTGTGTTGCTCACCGTGGCTGTGCGGCATCTCAGGAGGCTGTGCGGGGTCTGACCAGTGCGGTTACGGGGTCTCAGGGTCTTACTAGGGCTGTGCAGGGTCTCGGGAGGATGTTCAGGGTCTTACTAGGGCTGTGCAGGGTCTCGGGAGGATGTTCAGGGTCTTACTAGGGCTGTGCAGGGTCTCGGGAGGATGTTCAGGGTCTTACTAGGGCTGTGCAGGGTCTCGGGAGGATGTTCAGGGTCTTACTAGGGCTGTGCAGGGTCTCGGGAGGATGTTCAGGGTCTCACCAGGGCTGTGTGCATGTCCTCACAAGGGCTGCGTGCGGGGTATTACCAGGCCTTGGGTGGTCTCCCCAGGGCTGTGTGGTCTTACCAAGCTGTGGCGGGACTCACCAGGGCCACGTTCAGATCTCGCCAGGGCTGCATGTAGGTCTGTGTCTGATGTTTCCACAGGGCTGCGTTTTGGTCTCACCATGGCTCTGCGGGTGGCGGCAAGGAGGAGGTGGTGATGTGTGGCCGGACCAGTGCTGTAAAAGTCAGCCATCTCAGGCAGCCTAACCCATTTACAAATGTAAAGCACCGGTATCGGCACTTAATATCTGGGCATTTTCACCACTACGAGTACTCATGAAAGTGCCCAGCATCGGCAGTGATACGGATATCGGTATCGGTGCATCCTTAGTTCTGACTTCAAGTCTTATCTTTCTTTCCATTCTACTCTATGGGCATCCCATTGTCTCATTCCATAGAAAACAATCATCATCTCAGTTAATTTTCAGTTTTAATTAATACAAATGACCTCGGACACGATGCATGTGAAAGGTTGATCTGATCTGTGGAAGGGTTCACACTCCAAATGAGATCTTTCTTCACTATTATGCTCTATGGGCATTCCACGGTGTCATTCACTTGTCATTCCATAAAGAAAAGCACAAATCCCAGGTCATTTCAATCCTACCATCGGATACCAAACACGGGGAAGACCTGCGGTGAAGGATAACGTGATATCTTTTTCAGATTTACCTGCACATTATCTGATACTTTGCTTTCCATTATACTCTGTGAGCATTCTTTGTATCCGTTTCCTTTGTCATTCCATAGAACATAATGATAATTAGGGATGCACCGATACCGTTATTTTGGTACCGAGTATGAGTACCGATCATTTTTTTTTCCGGTACTCGCCGATACCGAGTACCGCAAGTCCCATTCAGGAAGCCAGGTGGCGTGTAATGACTCACCACCCGGCTTCCTGATTAACAAGAAAGTCCCCTCTTACCTCAGCACTTCCAGCCTGTCACCCCCGGGGCCTCTCCAGCCAGGAGCGGCCTTCCTCCGGTACCCAGTCAGAGCCGTCTTGCTGGCCAATCATGGAAGCCGGGCCCCGTGTAATGATGCGGCGCCCTGCTTTCTGATTGGCCGGGAGGCCTGCTCCATGCTCCCTCGTCATGAGATGACGAGCTGTGCGCCGTCATTACACGGCGCACAGCTTCCCGACTAATCAGGAAGCCGGGCAGCGTGTCATTACACACTGCCCGGCTTCCTGATTGGCCCGGGAAGTCGGCTTCATGCTCTCACATCACAAGTGACGAGAGAGCATGCAGCCGCTCCCCGGCCAATCAGGAAACAGGGCAGCGTGTAATGACGCGCTGCCCGGCTTCCTGATACAGGAAGTATCGGGCTAGGCATTTGGGCGAGTACGAGTACTCGGTATCGGCACTGATATCGATACTAGTATTAGTATCGGTGCATCCCTAATCCTAATGGTCCCAATTTTAAACACTGTCAGTGTGCTTGGAGAGTATGCCTGCTGAAGATTTATTTGATGCGTCAAATGGTGTTGACTTGAGGTCCTCCAATTCTTCCCATTATACTCTATGGGCATTCCATTGTGTCATTCCATGGGAAAATCTACAATCCCGTGTAATCTTACCGTCTGATACTGTATCCCGGGAGCACCTATGATGAAGGGTCTCTTCCCATGTCTCTCAGATTTCACTACAAAGGAGTTATTTTCCAGCTTTCTATTATTGTCTATGGACATTCCATTCTATCATTCGCTCCTGTCATTCCATAGCAGAAAATAATAATCCCAGGTAATCTCCGTTTTAGAATTGGCCACTTGGAGTGTGTTCTCTAATGATTTATTTGTTGTGTCACAATGGTTCTGACTCCCAAGTCCCATCATTTTAACCCATTCTACTCTATGGGCATTCCATTGTGTAATTCCATAGAAAACAATCATCATCTCATTTAAGTTTTAAAGACTACTAACGACCTTGGACACGATGTATGTGAAAGGTTTATCTGATCTGTGGAAGGGTTCAAACTCCAAATCAGATCTTTCTTCCGATTATACTTTATGGGCATTGCATTCTGTCATTCATCTGTCATTCCGTAGGTCATTACAATCCTGCCGTCTGATACTGTATTCCAGGAGCATTTCTGGGAAAGATTCCTTTATGTTTCATAGGTTTGCTGGCAGATACATTTATAACAGGGGTGCCCATTAAGCCGATCGCAAAACGAACACTGGTAGATCGCAATCGGCTTACTGAACTGTGTCCTGTCCTCCCGCGGTGCTGGTGCGGCTGAATGTGTCAGACGCCGCAGACAGGAAGGGGCGGGGCAGCTTTCCCCGTGTGCAACGTCGGCCACACGAGCACCGTGGTAAGAAAAGACAGACAGCAGAGAAAGAGAAGAAAGACAGCAGAGAGAGAAGAGACAGCCAAGAGAGAGGGCCGGTTCACACCACAAAGTCTGCGTCCCAGAGTGTTCGGCCTCTAGAACGCACCGGAACGCAAGCCGGCCAGCTCCCTCTGTTCAGGGGCAGGAAGAGGGGGGGTGAAGTCAATGGCGACGCCCCCCGCCTGCACCCGGAAAGGAAGCAGACACATTAGTGCCTGAGTTCCGGTCCAGTGCTATTCTCAAAAATAGTGCTTGCAGCATTTTTGCAGATCAGACTGGACCGTAACGCAGGCACTAATGTGCCTGCGTTCCGGCAGGGCGGCGTTGCTGCTGTGCCATTTACTTCAATGCACCGCCACGCCCCCTCCCGCCCCTGAATGCAGGTGTTTTTTCATTGGTAGAGCTCATTGAGCTCGTCGTTTGAAAAGTAGATCTCCAGACAAAAAATTGTGGGCGCCCCAATTTCTAATATGCTCCCCATTGTCCTCTATGTTTCCATTTTGTTTCATTATAGTATATGGGCGTTCCATTACCCCTGTCAGAGTCTATGGCCACTCCATTCTGTCGTTCCTCTTAGTAGGCCCTAGTCGTTATTGCTCCCTAGATATTGTGGAACTACAGGGGTGTGCAAATGTAAAATAAAACCAAACTACTTGTCCAAGGACTAAAGCGGGGGCCGGATCTACTTCTCCCTCATGACAATCTATTCCTCCTGATACAAAAAATAATTTTAGCCAAAACCGTATTTAGCAGGGCTAAGAAGTGCTTTTCATTGGTCAGCGCCGTCAGGTGACCGTGCTGACCAACAAGTGCTTCCAATTTGCGAGCGAAATTCAGAATACATGGCACAGGTACAGATAGTACAGCCGTACTGATGGAACGGAAGGATCGTTTGCGGAAAGGTAAGTATAGCAGGAGGGGGAGGGGCCAGATTTGTGCGGGTAGTTCCATTTTCCTATATTATTTGGGAAAGTGAATTTACCCCTCAGGGCTGGTGCAGACTGGGGTGCCATTAGAAAATAATGGCACTGCCAGCG